AGTTTTTAAAACCCATGTTGCTCCCTGCAATGGCTTCCCTTTCATCATAAGGAAAAGACAAAGTACCTCATCTGTCTTTTGCTCCCAATCAGCTATCTTTTTTGTCATGACACAGAATGGCCAGCACTGTCCCTCTTCCCCAGCCCACTGCCCAACCCAATGCCTGGAAGTTCCACTGGCCAGCTCTGCCCTTTCTGTGGCATGCCTTTGCCCTTCAAGGCCCTTCATGAATCCCTTCATTAGTTCCTGTGCCTCTTGGAGCTTCCATGTTCTTCCCTGTAGAATGGTGGTATTTGCTGCCCAGGGTCTCAGAAGAATCAATGAGACAAGGAATATAAAACTGCTTTTCAAACTGAAAAGGTTTGGGGGGAGGTAAAGAATATAGAATGACAAGTGGTATGAGGCAGCCATGTAAAGTTCTTTATAAGCTCACTTGAGATGCCCACGAGAATCCCAGGAGTCAACTCTGTGAGGGCACCATGGAAATTATGCAGATTGAGCAGGGGAGTGTGACAGAGCCAGGTAGGCTATTAATGGAGCAACTAGAACCTACTCATGAGGTCTGAGTCTGCATGAGAACCCCTGAGGAAGCACAGGTGTTGATGGGGGACAGGAGGGTGGTGCTTCAACTCCTTCCTTCCAGCTCAGCTAGGTGACTCATCTGGAAGTGCAGGCCCAAATTTCACCCTCCTCCACTTAAGGCTGAGCTCAATGGTCCAGAAGATGTGCCCAGAGGATGGAGACAGCAGTACAGTGAGTGACTCATGGAACTGAGTCAGAGCCCACTCAGCCCCTTTCAGGGCTCTGACGAAGTCTGTGCCAGCCTTGTGCCTTCCCAAACACATTCCCACCCCCAACTCCTCCAGATCAGTGACCTCACAATATACTTCTTCTGACTGCTAGCCTTACTTATTTCATAGATACATGGAACTCCTACTGGATCTCCCATGCAATGGGCTTCTTCACACTTAGTTGATAACCCATTCATTCATTCCATGTTCAGGTGCCAGAATAAAACCCTGGTCCCTGCCTTCAAGGAGCTCTCCACCTAGTAAACAGTTTCCATCCATCCCTTGCCACTGCAGAGGAGTGGGCAAGGCAGGGCCATGGGAGCCTCACATACCATTTTTTTTGGTATTCCAGCTCATAGAATGAGGAATGAAAGAGCCAAGCTGGGACACAGTCCCTCAAAATGAGGATAAGCTGAGAAGTCACTGCCCCAATTATCCAGTTCTGGGACTGCCAAGTTTGGGAGTCTCTCCTTCCCAGTGGGGAATGAAAAAGATATCTATTTTTAAGGAAAAAAAAAATGTCTTTCTAGTGGGAACACTGAACCTAGATTGAGCCTCTATGCAGATCCAAACAACTTTCTGGTTTTTTTAAATGAATGGATACTCTGATAAAGGTAGGCAGAGCCTAAATTAATGGTCACAGAACAAGTTCTACTCTGTTCTGTTCAATTTCAGTGTGGTGACTGAATTTTGGCTTTTTGTTATTTTTTTAAGAGATGGGGCTTGGTTATGCTGCCCAGCTTGTCTTAAATTCCCAGGCTCGAGGGATCTTCCTGTCTCAGCCTCCCAAGTAGCTAGGACTATAAGTGCACACCACTGCACGTAGCTTGAATGTTGACTTTGTTTTTTTTCAATATTTTTTATTGGTGCATTATTGTACATAATGGTGAGATGAATTTTGACTCTAAATCAATTACAGAGGGAGTCACTTGACTATCAGGAAATATATAATATTAGAGCTGGCATGATTTAGAAGTCATCTAATTCTAATCTGTTTCATTTTAGAAGTAAATCTCAGATTCAGAGAGGAGAGAAGAAATAAGAGTTCTTTGATAATTTGCATCTATTTTCCAGTCTTTAAGCAGATATAATTCTTATTACAAAAATAAACCACATTACAGAAAGAATGAAAAAGGAAAACCACATTAGTCTCCATATACTAATACAATCACTGGTAACATTTTGCTATTATTTCTTTTTCTTTTTCTTTTTTTATAGTTGTTGATAGACCTTTATTTTATTTATGTATTTATACGTGGTGCTGAGAATCGAACTCCGTGCCTCACACATGCCAGGCAAGTGCCCTACCACTGAGCCCCAGCCTATACTCTACATTTTGCTATTATTTCCTTTTATACAATTTTAATCATGCAGTATAAATATGTGTGTGTGTTTCTGTGTGTCTGTGTGTGTGTGTATTTTTGTTGTTGTTGCTGTTGTTATTGGGGATTGAACTCAGAGGCACTTTTCCACATTCCCAGCCTTTTTCATGTTTGTTTTACGACAGTGCTTCACTAATCTGTTTAGGCTGGCCTCAAACTTTCGATCCTCCTGCCTCAGCCTCCCAAGTCACTGGAATTAAAGGTATATTACCACAGTACCAGGCTGTGTATTTTTTTATTTGACTTTATATTCTAAACATTTCCATCATATTATTAGAGTCTTTACACATCATTTTAAATGACTGTATGTTATTCTAGCAAGGAGAGGGCTCTAATTTTTTTTATGACATATTTAACCATTTTCTCTCTCTCTCTCTCTCTCTCTCTCTCTATCTCTGTCTCTGGTACTGGGGATAGAACCCAGGGGCACTTTACCACTGAGCCATATCCCCTAGACCTTTTTATTTTTTATTTTGAGACAGTCTTCATTAAATTGCTCAGGGCCTTGCTAAGTTGCTGAGACTGCTCTTGAACTTGCAATCCTCCTGCCTCAACCTCTTGAGCTGCTGGGATTACAATCATGTGCCACTGCACCTGGTTTAACCATTCTCTTTTTGAAGGACATTGAAGTTATGCCAAAATTTTGAATATGAAAATATTACATATTAGCTTTTCATTTATTTATTTCTTTGTGATAGGCTCTCTCTCATAAGTAGAATTGGTATAAAGTATCAGGTATGAATTTTTTAAGGTATGAATATTTTTAAGTCACTCAATATATATTAACAAATTGCTTTAAGGTTGTACTAATTAGCAGGGCTTGGTGGAAATGCCTGTAATCCCAGCAACAGGCTGAGGTAGGAGGCTGAGGTAGGAGGATCACAAGTTCTAGGCCAGCCTGGCAACTCAGGAAGACCTTGTCTCAAAATGAAAAGGGCTGGGGCTATAGTTCAGCAGTAGAACAACCCTGGTTTTAATCCCCAGTATAGGAAAAAAAAAAAAATTGTACTAATTAAACTGTCACCAGCAATACAGAAGCCTATTCTACATCCTTACCTTTCATTTTACAAGGCTGAAATAAAATAACTTGTCTATTTCAGTATATGGCCAAAATGTTTATGTTTATACCTTTCTGATCCCCCGATACAATGGCAATATCAGAAACCTTTAAATGTGGGTCCATGAGGAGGGGGCTTATGGAGAAAGGCTTTTATTTTTTTCTTTATGTACTTTGTATCATTTTAATTCTTCACAGTGAGCATGTAAACCTTTTCAAAGCTAGCAAAAAGACAAAGATATTTCTATTTTGGAGGGAAAAAACGAAAAAAACAGCACCCTGTTTTTGTTTGCAATTAGTGGGCTGATTAAATGCATCAGAACCCTAGCTCTAAGCTTTATATGACTTGAGTTTTCTGTCAAATGGTGATGATACTCATGTCACAGGATTCTTATTATCATTTATGTGAGATAATTCTTATAAAATATATAGAACAAAACCTTGCATTCAGGACATATTAATGCATGCTAACTGTATTTTTAATGCGCCTCACATGTGCAAGACAAGTGCTCTACTCTGAGCTACAACCCTAGCCCTATATTTTTTATTCTGACATTTCTTTTAGTCTTTGGAGGTGCCTGCACCCTTACCCACAATCTCAGTCATTTTTTCTCACCATTTATCCCAATAATATCTAGACTCCAGGGAACAATGCTTGTGTGATGCCACATTAGCCACATACCTCTTTATGAATGTTTGGTAAATCATAAACCACTAACCCCAGAGTGACAGAAAGGCATGAGGCAGAGGAAACAAGTGGAACACATGTGTGTGGGCAGCACACTCAAGCACAAATGAATGCCCATTCCATTCCAGATGGTACCGAGGACTCACAGCATCTCAAACTAGCAAAAACCGAGAGAGCTTGTTTTCAGTAGAAAACAGCTGGGGTGGTGGTGGTGCAGGGGGATACTCAGGAGGTAAAAATAAGAATACAGGAATATGGGATTTAAAAAAATCTGAAATTTCCAAGCTATCAATTACTTTTTAGAAAAGCTGAGTAGCAGAACACTAAGTGGAGAAGCTTAATTCAAGCACTAAGCTGACAGGTCTGTTCAAGTTCAGTAGGATGTTTAGGGATGCTGCAGTCAAACATCCCTGGCCACCAGCATGTTTTATGAACATGCCATGTTAATTCATCTTTTTGTGTCTCCCTTTCTTCATATGTAAAACAGGAATGATAGAAATTCCTAACTCATAGTGTCCTGAGGAGTAACTGAAGTGAATTATGGGTAAGTTCTTAAGTGCTGGCCCTCCTTATTTTTGTCCACTGCCCTTTGCCCTTGACAGCTTGGTAACAGAGTGCCTCTGGCTTAGCAAACCTCACACCCAACCAGTGTACTTATTTGAGGGATATCCTGTGGCCAGCCCAGGTCAGCAGGCAAGCTTGGGCTTTCTCTCTGCCTTCCTGAAGCAAGAGCCCAGGGAAGGAATACTAGCCCTGCCAGCCTCTCCCAAAGAGGTGGCAAGGGTGCTGAGGGCAGGATGATGGAGGAATTACTCCAGTCAGGAGAGGAGGCTGACCTTGGTGAAGCTGCTGTTAAGTGACTTTTGATTGCCTAGGGTGCACCAAGGGCCTCCTGGCAGCCTAGAGCAGAGGGGGCAGAGGCTAGACAGGGAAGAAAGGGAGGGGCTTGATGTAGGGAGGGGAAGGAGGAAATGGTGGGAAGTTGAGAGGAGGAAGGGGCTGAAGGGAAGGTGGTGGGAGGAAGAAGGCAGTGGAGGAACGGTGGGGGAGGGGAGGAGGGAGCGGGAAAGGTTGGAGGAGACTGGCGGGGCACCTGCCAGTGTGACTGTAATAAGTCCCCTCCTCCAGCAGCCATAAGTACAGCGGCTGGGCCTTGGCGGCCTCCTCTAGCCGGGTGACATCCTCACGCCTCAGAGGCACTTGCTGGCAGCCGCTGGGGGGACGCGGCAGGAGCCTCAAATGCCACCTACTCCCCGGCCTCTCTCCCAGTTGCTGCTTCTATTTTAGGCACCACATTATTTCCTGCTGTGATTTTTTCAGGCTTCTAATTCGGGCTCTGAGGTAAGCCGTGACATCCGCTCGCCCGCAGCCCCCTCTGGCGCTGCTGATCCTTCCAGGGCCACGGGCACCCTCTGGCGCCCTGCGCAGCACCCCTGCGACTGCGGGGAGTCACTCGGCCAGGCTTTCCTAAAAATAGGCTTTCAGGAGGAGGGATTTCCCCCCTGGGTAGAAAGAGTCTAGTTGGAATAGATTTCTAGGCGAGAATTTAGAAAAAAATGACAGGCACCGGGTATAAACTGTGCCATTGTGTTCTGAATCCAGGAAGGGGCTGTACATGCTTCCGCATCAGTGGTTCTCAACTTTTTTGGGCAAGGGCCATTTTGAAAATCTGATGAAGTATGCGCCCTGCTCCTAGAAAATGACCACAGCAACCCACATGCACACAAGTCACTACAATGATGCTTGTAATTTCGGGTGTGAGCAACTCCTGAAGTTGGACCATCCAACCCTGGGAATCCGAGGCTCCAGGTTAAAAGCCGCAGCTCAGTCCCAGGTATTGCATACATCTATCTCTTCTTGGGAGTTTCATCCCACCCAGATTCATTACTCTCTTCTTTCTCTCCCTACCCTCTGATCTCCCTCATTATAATCAATGTGTGTTTTTAAAGATGTATTTTTATGGGCAAGCATTTCACATGCAAGTGGATAAGTGAAGATTAGATTGTACACTGCTTCCTAAGGGTAGTGGCATATCCAGGTTTCCATGCTAGTTTGCTACCAGGGTCCTGCTGGCATCTAGTAGTGGAAAGGACCCTACATTAGGATTCCAAGAGACTTGGGTTCAAATTTAACACCTATCTTGACATCCCAGAACTTCTACTGTGTTTACGGCAATGGAAATTCTAATAATAAAGCTTCATCACATGACTAATTTGGTACAAGGGAAGGCATCTTTTAACTGTCCTCTATCAAGGGAAGAGGCCTAGTTTGCATCTTTTAAATTACACATAATTTGCTGCCCCTCAGAATGGGCAACATCCAGTGTGTGTGTGTGTTTATGTGTGTGTGTGTGTGCACGCGCAAGCACATTTTAGTTAAAGCTGTATGGTCTATGAGAGCATCCTCACCCTCCCCACTGTCAAGTTCACATATTAAAACCTAACTTCTACCCCCACATTAAGAGGCAGGGAACTTTTGGAAGGTGATCAGATTAGAAGTGTTCCCTCTGTGAATGAGATTAGTGCTCCTATTAAAAAAAAAAAAAAGGCTTGAGGGAGCCTATTTGCCCTTTCTACCATACGAGGACTCGTAGCAAGTACCATCTATGAGGAATGGCCCCTCACCAGATCACCAGATCTGCTGGTGCCTTAAGATCTTGGATTTTCCAGCCTCCAGAACTCTGGGAAGTAAATTTCTGTGGTTTATAAAGGACCCAGTATAAAGCATTTTGTTTCATTGTCAAAATGGACAAAAACAGAGGCTGGGATTGTGGCTCAGAGGAAGAGTGCTTGCCTCACATGCGTGGGGCACTGGGTTTGATCCTCAGCACCACATAAAAATAAAGATATTGTGTCCACCTATAACTAAGAAGTAAATGTTTTTAAAAATGGACAGAGTTAAGTCCAAACTAAGGAAATGATGTGAGATGAGCTATCTCTGGAATAATGAGTGAGAAGTCAGGAGCCCATTCCCAGGCACATACAGAGTAGCTAATATGAGAATCAGCCTTTGAAATCTACTTGATCTTGATTCCCCCATTTTTCCATAGTTATTAAAAGAGGGCCACTTCACTGCCCCCCATGACTCCTACAAAGCACAACCTACAAACATACCTCCCTCCCACCTTAATTAGATCTTCCATTTTCTCTAGGATACTCTCTGGTTATGTTTCTATTCTTTATCTCTGCCTTATGTCTTCTACAGTGATACCCCAACCTCAATCTCTTCCTGCCTCACGGATTCCTTATCTGTTGCTGGCTCCTCCTGCTGTTCTGTGATTTTTTAAACAGTGGCCACTTTCCAGTATTCATCATGCTGCACTGAGTTCCCTGTTCTTGGCCTTCTGCCTTTCAGAAGAGATCACACTGAATTTGATGGGCTCAGCTATATCCTCTAGGTACCTGCTCTGATCTCTTAAATTCCAGTCTCAAATTCAGTTGCCCACTGCACAACTTTAAATGTAAGCCCTATTGTCATTTCCAATAATACCTACCTAAAAATGAGTTTCTTATTTTTCCCGAACCAGCTTTCCCTCCTGGTTTCCCTTTTCTGTTTGGGCCATAACCATTCCTCTGATCATCCAACACAAAGGTTCCATCAGCTTTGATTCTTCTCTTTCCCTCTCTTCCCACCTGCATGCAGGCATCAAATCCTGTCTATATCTCCTTTGGGATCTCTGGCATCCATCTCTTCCTTCCAGTAGCTCCCTGGATGTTTTTTCTGCCCACAGCTTCTCCATCCTTTAACATAGATCACTTCCATATCAAGAGCTTCTAATTTCTTATTATCTTCCCTGTTTTTCAATCTGACTCACTTTAGCCCCCCTCCTTTTTTTTTTTTTTTTAACCAAAGAGCACCCTTCACCAGAAAGCACAGAAGCCAAATTCCAGTGCTTAGTAGGTCAGGTGGGTCATGAAACAGATCAGGTGCACGATGACAGGGAGTGATAGGAAGTGGCTTCTAGATTCTAGTGCCTCAGTCTAGAGGGGGATTGAGTAGTTCCACTGCCATCAGGCCCAGTGTGGCCATATTTCCTACTTTTAACACAAAACAAAAACTCACGAAATTTGGATTTTTACATGAAACCTCCCAATTTCCAAAATACTATGACACCCAAACAAAACATGGTTGCAGTCTAAATTCAACCTGCAGGAAACCCTGAACTTAAAATTTTTTGATGTGGGGGGGCTGGGGTTGTGGCTCAGTGGAAGAGCACTTGCCTAGCATTTGTGAGGCATTGGGTTTGATCCTCAGCACCACATAAAAAAATAAATTAATAAAATAAAGGCAGTCAATCCATCCACAACTACAAAAACATTTTTTAAAGAAAATTTTTTTTGATGTGGCAGAAAGCACTTTGAACTGAGAATTTCTAGTTCTGGTTGTGCCAGTAATAGGCTATATAAATGTGAATGAATTTTATCCCCTCTCTGGGCCTTAGTTTCCCCCTATACAGTGAAGAGTCCTATTAAATAATGAGTCTCAAAGCTCTTTTAAATTTGGTATTTCTGTGGTTCTATGGTGTATCCTAACTGGTGAAGAAATCACTTTTGGTTGACTTGACTGATTAATGAGAATTATCATAAACACGCAGTGTACATGAATTACCACATTTCAAAGAACAAGAATACAGTAAGCCTTTGGTTAAATGAAATTCTCCAGGGTTAACTGGAAAATCCCCTCAATCAAGGTTATTGTTCAAAGACTTTCTAAAATGTCAGAGTTCAGCTTCCTGCTTTTCTAAGCACAGGAGATGCAGCAGTACCTGGCAAGGGGAACTGATGAGTCAATGTCTAGGGATGGCTCTGCCACTTGGGCTACAGGGGGTCATAGCTGAATTGGTGGGAGGTCCTCTCAGACCACTGCCAGCCATGGGGCTGCTCAGGGAGCAGTGATGTCTGTAAATCAGGAGCCACCTGGCTGATGCCATAACTAACTATACTGAGGGCCTCACCTGCCTCTTTGCAGGCTTCAGACCCCCATATTTAACATTCCCTTTTGCAGCATAACTCACCCTTAGGCTGGAAAACAGTTGGAAACTGGCATTGCCTGGAATGTATGGAGACTGACTACCATGACACAAAAAGACTTCTTCCTAGGGAAAAGAGTAAAGGCTTTGGAGCCCAATAGATCTTGATTTGAATCCCGACTCTTCCACTTTCTAGCCGTATGACTTTAGGTAAATTCACTTAAAACTTTCTGAGTGAGTTTTAAGTTTCCAGTCTATAAATCAGAGGCAACAATACAGTCTCAGAGTTTTTGTGAGGACTGAGACAAATAATGAATTCTAAATGGTTGGTGTGGTGTGTGGGAGTTAGTCTGTGCTTGAAAACTGGAAATCATTATTCCATTAGGAATGAACTTTTTTCTTTTTTGCAGGGGAGAGGTACCAGGAATTGAACCCAGGAGGCACTTAATCACTGAGTCACAATCCCGGCCACCCTGCTTTCTTTTTTTATTTTGAGACAAGGTCTTGCTAAGTTTCTTAGGGTCTCATTAAGTGGCTGAGGCTGGCTTTGAACTTATGATCCTCCTGCCTCAGCAGGATTACAGTCGAGTACCACAGCACCTGGCTAGTAATGAACATCTTTTATTTTTCATGAAAAATCCCATGTCATTCTTTCACTTTTTACTTAGTAAGGTAGGAAATTAATATCAGTCACTTCCTATTTCAGTAGACATTTGAGAAACCAGGTGTTTTTAGAATTAGGTCTCTTGCTCCCTCCTCCCTTCCATCCTACCCATTTATCCTGATAGACATCAGCCTTAAAATCAGAAATAAGATCTGTTTTGCAACTACCATACTAATAATTGATTCAAGCAAGAATCATCAATGGAAGTAAAAGTTAGATGAGGAAAGGATACTCACAGCCTTAAATAATCCTTCACCCAATTATTTACTAATTATAAGAAGAAAGAGTAACTTTTCCTGGCAGACATCTCCTAAATCAAGTGATCAAAGTTAATATCATCAATCCCAAGACAGAGACATCATATGGCTCCTGATATGACACACTGAGAATACAACATCACTTCTGTGGGATTCCTGCCAGCAAATGCCTAACTTGGAATCTAATTGTGAGCCCACGTCAGACTAACCAAACCAAGAAGCATACTACAGAACTGACCTGTACTCATGAAAAATATCAATGTCACGCAAGACAAAGAAAGGCTGAGGAACTAACTGTTCTATGGTAAAAACTCAAGAGATATGAAACTAAATGGAATGTGTGATCTGGATTGGATCCTGGACTATCTCTGTTAAGAACATTATTGGAAAACTGAATGAACTTTACTATGCATTATATATTAAGTAATAGCATTATATCCATGTTAAGTTCCCTGATTTATGTAAGAAAGTATCCAAGTTCTTGAGAAAGTCACACTGAAATATTTAAGGGGGAAGAATTGCTAGTCTGCAACTTACTCTCAAATGGTTAAAAAGAAAGAAAATAAGTATAAATATGTATATATACACTCAGTTATTAAAACAAATGTAGCAAAATGTGAACATTCGGTAAACCTGAGTGAAGAATACACTAGAGTTCTTTGTACTGGTTTTGCAGCTTTTAGGTAAATTAAAATGATGTCAAAATAAACTGGGTGTGGTGGTGCATGACTGTAATCCCAACAACTTGGGAAGCTGAAGCAGGAGGATTGCAAATTTGAGGCCAGCCCCAGTAATTTAGCAAGGCCCTAAGCGACTTAGTGAGACCCTGTCCCAAGAAATAAAAATAAAAAGGGGGTGGGGGAACGTGGCTCAGTGACAGAGTGCCCCTGGGTTTGAAAAAAAATTTTGTTTTCTAAAAAAAAAATAGAGCTCAGATGCCATGCTCAGAGCCTCATATTATCTGTCCCTGCAGTTTGGTGAAGTAAAAACAGTCCCAACTTGAAGAGGAGGTTTGAACCCAATCTCTCAATCTTCCAACTGCAAGATCCATCCAGAGGCTTCTAATGAACTTCACTCTAAAGAAGATAAAAGAATGCTTCTTTCTTGGAGTTAAGAAGACTAAATGAAGAAGTCTATGTAAAAAACATGGTATCTGCCAAGAAATTGTTCATGTACTCTATAAATGTATGCTTAGAGTCCAGAAGTGATAAACAAATAGAATCCTTGCCTTTGTGTAACTTATATTCTAGCCAGAAAGATGGAAAATAAGTGACAAACTACACAGGCAGACATATATACTTACAAAGTTCTGCAAATTCTATAAGGGTGATGGAGAGTGACGGGGGAGATGGGGTACCCTACCATATATAATGTGGTCAGGGAAATGACATTTAAACTGAGATTGAAGGAGAAGGGAGGAGTTGGCAATCTGGGCAGTGGGAACAGCAGGAACAAGCATGGGGACAGGGGGCAAGAGGTAGGTGTGTGTAAGGAACTATCAGTCTTCTCTCTTCTGCTAACCCAACTATGACTCCTTGTATGTACCTTGAGAGACAGGGCAGCACAGCACCTAGCAGGGACTAGACTCTCAGGTAGTATATGATGAATGAACAAGAGAATGGCTGAGCTCTGGTTCCAATGTTTGCTCATGAAGAGATCCCCCTCTTCAGCCCTTAGCCTCCTGATGTGGAAGGAAGGAGGCTTCTGAAGAAGGCTCATAATTCTCTCCTTTTTATGATTTGCCTAGAGCACAGAGCTGGAGGGACCCCCAAAATCTCACCCTTTCTGTTAAAGGGAAGAAGCAGAGGCCCAGACTCAGGAGAGCCTTGCTGAGGTCCGGATCTGATGGGGCCCATGTCTAGTGCTTTCCCCAGCCCACAGCCTGTCTTGTTTATTTGTTCAGCAGGTTTATTTCAGCCATGGCACAGCCTGTTCTGACTCTGGAACATTTATGAGATGAGCCAGTTTTTTAAAATCATACAAAATAAATGGTTTGCTCTTAGAGCTACGGGGTGGGGCAGTCAGATGGGAGACAGGTTTTGAGGCCAGCTCTGGGGCAAAATTTTAGCTTACCCTTTGCTATATTCTTTTCGCCTCTGCCCTTGGGAACCAAAGGGACTTCAATGGGATTTCCTGCCTCCATTTCTCAAAACGATGATGTGGAAAAACTGGAACACTTAACCATAAGATTTCTAGTTCTCATCTCCACCCTCATCAATTCTATTCTAAACTCTGGTTTCTAAATCACTAAGCTCAAAGAGCTGGGAATGTAGTTCAGTAGTAGAGCTCTTGCCTAGCATGTGCAAAGCTTTGGGTTTGATCTCCAGTACAAAATACATTATATAATGTTCACGCCTTTGAGCTCAAGACACAGTCCAATACAACAGATTGGCCTTGGGACAGGTTTTGGGACTAGCACCTGGATCATTCTGCTCCCTCTGCTTGTAGTGTTCTCTTTTTTTCTACTTATGAACTCTTATCTACCCCTCAAAATCCAGCTGAAGACTCTAAAACCTTGAACTCATTCCCCTGTATTCTACCAGCTCTGTGTGTGTGTGTGTGGTACTGGAGAATGGAACCCAGGGCCTCATGCATGCTAAGCAAGAGCACTACCACTGAACTACATCCCCAGATTTTTTTTTTTTTCCTTCTCTCTTTTCCTGAGACAGGGCCTAACTAAGTTGCTCAGGCTAGCCTCAATTTTTTTTTTTTTTTTGCCTCAAATTTTGAGATCCTCCTGCCTCAGCCTCTAAGTAGCTAGAATTACAGACATACACCACCAAGCCTGGCTTGCCAGCTACTTTTAAAAATAGCTGGTAAATCCAATGAAGACAAAATTTGATCTGAAACATTTATTTTTAGTTATGCAAATATCTGATTATCAAAAACCTGGAAATTAATAATTAACGAAGCCAAATTGTTCAGCCAACAAAATTATTTAAACCTCAATTAAGCCCAGGGTGCCAGGTGGGGTGGGATAAGGGATCCTGGTGGTAAAACCGTGACTGCCTCATTTCTCCAAAAGGCCTGGTACATAGTAAATGCTGTCAAAATGCTCAGTGAATGTGTGAGCCCATGAGGATGAGGATGCTCTCTGGCTTCTAAGGGCTTTGGAGCCTCTGTGAATGCTTGTTGGCTATCCTATAAGGATCAGGCTAAGAAACAATTCAGTAGCTGTCCAAGCCCCAGGCTCTTTCTCCTTTAACTGGGCAATATGCCCATTCTTAGCACTCACCTCAGGTAGTACTAAGACGGATGAAAATGTAGGAATAGACCTTGTGTTCTGGAGTCCCTCCAAGGGGCAGGAGCAACAGCACAGATTCTGATGCCTCTCCAGTGCCCTCTACCCCTTTGTTCAAAGCAACTCCCAAGAAGAGGAGTCTGGTCAGCTGCAGGAGGTACTGTTCTTCACTTCCCAGATTAGCTCAGACCTTAAAAAATCACAGCCCAGTGCCTGCTCTTTCATGCCAAGGAAAACAGTAGATGTCAGAAGCCGCCTTAGGTATCTGGAACTGAACAGCTCCTGCTGCTCCTCCCTTCCTAGTATGAGGTCATTGAATCAGGATGACAAAGCAAACAGTGACATGTGCTGGGACTTGTTCCCAGACTGATTCCAGCATTTCTCCAGCCCTTCCCTCCTCCCCACCTTCAGAATAGCAAACCCAGGTGTAGACAACAAACTGAACTGGAATCAGTCCTTGGGCTTCCAGGAAATTGAGGCTGGGTGGGAGGCATAATCTGTGGTGGCAGAGAGGAGGTCTGGAAAAATGTGGGTAAAAAGGACTTAGGATATCAGTAGCACCAGACATTAGCCTGGTACATTCCAGGCTTTAACATGCTTTCACAACATTCCAAGGGAAGGAGGGTAGGAATTCTTTCTCGACTTCATAAATGAGGAAACAGGCTCACTTAAGGTTAGCAGCTTCATTAGGGTTACATGGCTTAAGTATGACAGAGCCAAACTTAGAATTATTTTTGTGACTCATTAGTTTTGTTGTATCTTCCTACTTCATCACAATTCCTTGAATTTGTCATTGGCAAGTTCATGCTTTCTTCTTTTGCATATCACCATACTATTATTTACTTAATGTTTTCCTTAAATAGACTCACTTTAAAAGTTGATCTCATTCTTAGCAATCGTGTGTGTGTTGATATATATTTAATATGTTCTATTCCATCACCATCCCTGCATCATTAAGGATGGATCTTGAAAGGTTACCAGCCAAATGGGTGCCCTGTTGAAATGCTCAGCTGGTAGTATCACTAAAGGCCAAGGCTATCTTTGTCAGAGCTGTGCCTTAAAGTCAAAGAATCATTGAATTATGGAGGACAAGACATAAATCATAGGATCAGAATCCTAAGGGACAGACCTTATGTAACACACTCAGTCCTAGCCCTAAAGATTAAGGGGTACCAGACAGGGATGAAGTCCTTGCTCTTAACAACTCAGCTTACAGGGCTAGAAGTGTAGCTTAGTGGTAGAGCAATAGCACCATAAAACAAGCAAACCTCAGCTTCCAAACATGGACAACTGAAATCTAGAAGGAATAAGCAGATGCTCTGGAGTTAAAGAAACTCATCTAGACTTGGTTCTACCACAAATTCAGTATGCCTTTGATCAAGTCAATTCATGTTCCCAATCCTTTTCCTTCAGTGATAATATCTCTTCTTTCTGCCATTCAAAACTGATAAAAGAGATTCAGATTAAAAAATGTGTGTTTAAAAATGCTCTGTAAACTATAAAGCTGCAATATAGGACATAAGGAATAAATAGGTGATATCCTAATTCCTCCACAAAATATTTGAATCATAACTGGAGAACGACTTTCTCAAGGGGTAACTAATCACAGTAACAACAGGTTGGGAAGAGATTTGGAAAGCAGCCTTTAGACCTTAACAATGTCCCTGGCTACCTTGCTACTTCAGGTCTTGGGCCCAGGGAGACATTGTTGAGCTGAATCAGCTTGCTGCCCTTGACTCCTTCGGAATCCTGTGTTTCTGATTTTATTTTACTCTTTGTTCCATTTTCAAACATTTATTTATCATCTTTCAGCCACATGTGCAAGTTCGTTGCACAGTAACAGGTCTTTACTGCCCTCGTATGGTCACTCTCTGCCATGGTTGCATGGTCTTCTGAAGGGGTGTATGTGACAATGGCAGACCTGAGGAGACCCAAGCCAAAGATCAGGATTTCCCAGGGCGAGCAGAGGACTTAAAACCCAAGTGAAAGCTAGATGCTGAAATCCAGAACTACTTGATGGGAAGTAATAGTTCCTTGCCCCAAGTAGGACAAGAATCCAGGCCTCTGGATTATCTTGCTAAAACAGTCAGTTCCTAAATTGTCCAGGAAAGAGTTGAAGGCAACTGTGATGTGTCTTTTCCAAGAGAAGGAAAGGCAAGGACTAGAACCTGTCCTCCAATTCCCCAGCCCATTGAAACCAACAGTTAACTAAGGGCCTATTTGTAAACTACTAGGTTTCACAGAGTGGGGTATGAAATATGTGGTCCTGTCCTCAAGAACTCATAAAACTTACAAATGTAAATAATCCACGTACATACACAAACTATATGTGCATGTGTGTGTTTAAATGTATTTTTTTTTTCTTTTCTTGTATTGGGGATCGAATCCAGGGGCACTTGACCACTGAGCTACATTCCCAGACCCTTTTATTTTAAATTTTGAGACAGAGATCTTGCAAAGCTGTTGAAGTTAGCTTTGAACTTGTGATCCTCCTGCCTCAGCCTCGAGTTGCTGGAATTACAAGCCTGTGCCATCATGCCCAGCAACAGACATAATTAACAGATATGAAGCCATTAGAGTAAGGACTATTATAGAAGTAGAAATAAAGTGCTACAGGACTGGTAGGAGAGAGGGATTGGTGACAACCATGGGGATCAGGGAAATTTCCTAAAGGAAGTGAGACTCAAGGTTGAACATTTTTAAAATAAGAAATCTGGGGGAGGGAAGAATAGAACAGATTTTTTAAGGCAGTGAAACTGTATCTGTATATTATAATGGTATATATATGGCATAACATTTGTACAAACTCATAGGATATTACACTGAGAGTGAACGCTAATATAAATTATGGACTTCGGGTCATCACCCCAAGTGTCAGTGTAAGTGCACCAATTATAACAAATGTATCACTCTGGTGCGGGTTGTTGATAATGGGAAGCTAAGTATGTGTGAAGGCAGGGATACATGGAAAAATCTCTCAACCTTCCACTCCATTTTGCTGTAAACCTAAAACTCTGCTCTCAAAGTATTCCAAAATCACTGGAAAAGAGATTTAAGAATCAATGTATTAATTCCATTTGTTTTTGGGGGGTGGAGGTGCTAAGGATAGAACCCAAAGGGACAGGAACTCTATAAGGGAATTTAAAGCCACAAGGGAATTAGATCTCACCCTTTGGATACTAGAAAACCTTTAGAGATTTCAAAATGTGGCATTATACTCAGGGTTGTATTTAAGATTATGTGGAGGAGAGCTAATTAGGTAAAGACCAGGAAGGAAGACCTATAAGAGGTGAGGGGAGCTCGGATTAGAAGAGTGGGCAATGCAAAGGAAGAAATGTAAAACCTCTACATAGAGAAATTAAAATAGACTTGAGAGATGAAGGCAGAGCTACCTTTAGTGAGAATCACTGTCCCATCATGTGCTGAGTCCTCTGACCTGCATCATCATCAATGCCAGGTCATAGTGGGGAGAAAAATTTCTGGTCTCCTATGGAATTAGTCTCAGTTCCACCCTGGAATATGGTGTACCAAACACCTAAACCCAAAGCAGAGCAAAGTCTGCTCAGGCACCAGAAGTTGTCTTGAAAAATCTTGTCAATGCCCACATCAAGTGAGGATTCTCAGGACTTGAATAGCCAGTCACAAGGGACCATACCAATTTGATGCTATGACCCATCTTCCTAACACCAAAAGTCAGAGTTTTGTGTCATTTCCCAGCAGTCCAGCATTTGGTTGGACTAAATCCTGTATGGGAACTCAGCCCTCACCCTACCCAAGACTGATTCCTGCTTTTGATTGCCACAGGGCTGGCAGGCGTCCCTCTGGTTCCCTCTCTCAGGAATCCGTCCACAGCTGCTGGCCACTTGTCACACCCTATCCGGGAGGTGGCAGCATTTCAATAGTAGCAACAGATCCTTAGACTGTGGCTAACAGCTTCAAAGTCAGTTGGGAATTGTGTCATATTTCTAAAAGTGGCTAACTCGTTCCAGTTCCAGTGAAGTAGTAATGGGTAAGGGTGTGGACTTCAAGGAGATAGCTAGGCTTCATATTTCCTAAACAATTGGGACAATTCCAGGGAAAATATTCACAGCAAGCATTCAAGAAACATTAACTGAATGTGCCAGACACTATGCAAAAAACCTAGCAAGAGTCCCTGTTCTCAAGGTGTTTTAATTCTAGCAAGAGTCTTATAGCTGATCTCTTTACTCTGCTTTTCCCTTCCCAAAGTTTTGGTAATGCCTTTCTACTTCACTAGTTTCTTAATGTTTTTGTTATTAGATACTCCTGCCCTGAAGTCACCCAAAGCCACTCCACTTGGTGAGGAGTGCTGTGTCCAAGAAAACAAAATTTAGACACAACAAATCAACCAAAACCTCGTAGTAGTGATCCTTTTAAGGGACTATATATTTGAACATAGCCCTAAAAGAATGTCACGTAAGATCTTCTCTCTCTAAAAAATACTTTGAAAATGTACTCTGATTACAATTACAAAAGAGACCTCAAATGCCCACAGTAACCCTGTATATACCTGGAGGAGAGGACTGAGGAAGGCAGTGGGAAAATCACTCCTAACCCCCAGGGAAAGGCATAAAAGAAAAAGATGGGGAGGGCAAATGCAAGAGACACACCTTACAGCAAATTATGGTATTCAGTGTCTTCATGTACATTATTTGATCCTCTCAAATGTTCTAGTAGACAAGCATAGCACACATTAATCTCCAGTTTCTGGGTGAGGGAAAGCCTACTGTGATCCAGCTCCAGCTACGCTAGAGAGAGTAGATGGGGACTGCAGTTGTGAGTGAGCCACAGCTTCTCAGAGCCCAGGTCTCTTCCTCTGCAGACCAAGGTGGTGTGATGAGTGATCCTAAAGATCCCTCCCATCATCCCAGCCTATTCTCACGCTGTGCTCTGGGTCAAGAGGCTACTAAGCAGTGAAGCCACACAGAACAGGTCTCTAAATTAGGAAAGGGGTTACTTTACAATACAATGACAAAGTCTGTGCTTATGATATGAAGATGGGACTTGAAGTGATCCATTCCCAAGATGAAATCCCAATTTTCCACTGAAATAAATGGACCTTACCAGTATTCACGTCATGGCAATGCTAAGTTTTTGTGTGTGTGCATATGGTGGGGGGAACTGAGGATTGAACTCAGGGGTATGTACAATCACTGAACCATAACCCTTAGCACCTTTTGAGTCAGGGTCTCACTAAGTTGGTTAGGGCCTCATAAATTGCTGAGATTAACCTTGAACTTGCAATCTGCTTGTTTCAGTCTTTAGAGTCACTAGGATTACAGACATGTGCTACTGTGCCCAGTGATGCTAAGGTTTTTATATCTTGAATTTTCTTTACACATGCTTCATTTCTTCTCTTTTCTCTAAATATCCTTAAAATGACTATGCTTCTTTTAATACTTTCTTCTCTATTTTTTTTCTTGGCTACAACAATTATTTATTGGTATGATTAAGAAAGGGATAACACAGTGGAAGCCATCATGAATGCAGAGCTCACCACTTATCCAGGGGACCACATCTGGGGATATATTTGACCCTATAGTCATCAGGAATGAGCCACTTCTCAGCCACCATGTCTTCAAATTCATCGGCTAAACTTGGTAAAATTCCATTTCATTGAGATGTGTATCTTCTGGCAGCCAGGGAACTTGAACTTGGCCCTGCGTAGAACTCAATCACAAAAAAACTGAATGCTTCACAAATTCGCATGTCATCCTTGTGCAGGGGCCATACTAATCTCTGTGTCATTTCAATTTTAGTATATATGGTACTGAAGCAAGCACCTCTTCACTAAATATTATTTCAGAAAAGAAAATATTCTTAGTAAAAGGTTAAAGAATGTTCTGTGAGGCCTGTTTAATTATTCAGGGAATTTTTAAAAATTAAGGTAATACCCAAATATGACATTTTAGAAAAGGCAAAACTATGGAGACAGTAAAAAGATCAGTGGTTGCCAGGGATTGGTGGGGAGGGAAAAATGAACAGGTGGATCATGCAGGACTTTTAGGGCAGTGAAACTATTTTGTTTGGTACTGTAATAGTGGGTACATGTCATTTACATTTATCAAAATTCACAGAATGTGCATCACCAAGAGAGAACCCTAAAGTAAACTATGGAGTTTCAGTGATAACATATCAGTGTAGGTTTGAGTGTGACAAATGCAGGCTCTGGTGGGGACTGGGACAACTATATGTGTGGGGCACAGGGCATGGATGGAAATAGTCTGTACTTTCTGTTCACCTTTGCTGTGAATCTAAAACTTCTGTAAAAAAATACAGTATATTGGGCTGGGGATGTGGCTCAAGTGATAGCACGCTTGCCTAGCATGTGTGAAGCACTGGGTTCGATTCTCAGCACCACGTAAAAATAAAATAAAGGCACTGTGTCCACCTAAAACTAAGAAATAAATATTTAAAAAAATTAAAATACAGTATATTAAAAATGTTAAAGCAATGTACTGGAGGGTTAAGAGCCGGACTTAGATATTAGACTGTTTGGGCTTCAGTCTAATTCACAGACTACTGAGTGGCCTTAGACAAGTCTTAACTCTCAGGGCCTCAGTTTCCTCAACTATAGAACTACTTCAGTGATCTAAGATTAAATGAATCATACAGGCAGTTAGCATAGTGTTGACACACTGGGGACATTAAATAAATCTTAGCTATTTTTGGAAATTTTAAATAAAAAACAATTAAGAAAAGTTTTGACCTTTTAGGTAAGTTTTAGGCCCCTAATTCCTATAGTGAATCAAGAGACTTATTTTGATGTTAAATACATACATTGACATTTTTTCTCCACTGTTCACATGGTACCACACTTTATCTTTTTCTTACAACAAATGAGTACCTATAACCAGGAAAAAAATTTGTTCCCTGCACCAAGATAGGAAGATCAGCTGCCCAAGACAGTGGTTTCTCTGCATAATTCCTGTCGGTCACCTAGATTCTAATGAATCCTACTGGATCTCCCCATCCCAATGCTGAGGTTCATTTGTTGGACAGCCATAACTGCTCCTAGGCCCTCTCTTCTGAGATCCAGGCCTATGTATTCAACTGCCTGGTGGACATTTTATTTAGGTGCCTCAAAGTGTTGAATTCATGACCCCTCCACTTTTACACCAGCGCTTCTTATTTCCCCCCTCAATGAATGACCCATCATCCACTCAGATGTGGAAATTTGCAGCCTAGGAATCTTCTTGGATTCCTTTCGTTTACCCTACACAACCCCCCCACCACTCAACTTAAGTCATTCTACTTTTAAAAATATTGCTAAGATCCATGTGTCTCTTTCCTTCTCGATCTCCACTGAATTCAAGCCATCATAATCTCTCAGCTGGACTGCTGCCACTGGCTCCTAACTGGTCCCCGAGTCTTCTCACCTTTTTTCACTCTTTCTCCACACTATAGGTTGAGTGTGGAGAATTCAAGGTTCAGAATTCTTGTCCAGGACAGCTGACTAGGGACACCCTGCTTGCAGTTAACTATTGTGTTCCTGCTGCGACCAAGTATTTTTTTCTAATGACTAAATAACCTTACTTTTATTTCTGAGAAAAGGAGACTTGTGGGAGGCGATCTTTGCACGTGATTTGAGTTACCTCCCTGGCAAGAGGGAGGGTGAGAGGAGCTTAAACACAGCGGTGTTAAAAGCCTTCCCCACCCTTTCCCAGGTCCGAGGGCTTGTCTGTGCAGAGACGTGCCTGGCCACTGACCTGAAGACCCAATCGCCGCCCCTGACCTTGGGATGCTGCCCCCCTTAACCTTCATTGGATGGGATTTTCCCTGGAATTTTTTGTTCTCCAATAAAATCTCACTCCCTGGCATGCTCTCCCTCTCTCACTAGTCTCTTCTGTAAACCTCACCACCACATTAGGTGGCTAGAGGCGGGAGCTAGGAGAAGCCATCTTGGAGCTGTGTTAAAGGTAATGAGAGTCTGTCTCTTTAATTTAAAACTCACTAGCAATTTCTTATGAACCGAACCTTCTTTCATGAAGCTCGTGCTGGTCGCGTGGCAGAGACTGGTTTACTTTAACTTCTGGTAACCATAAACTGCAACCCATATATTCAGGAGGAGATAATTGGTATTCTGAATACAAATCTTCCAAATATGCATGAACTGGGACACGCTTTTTAAAAAAAAGGTATAAGGGAACATTTTGAACCAAATAAGACCTTGAAGATGAATCAGTCTAGACCAGGGGTCTGCCAACCAGCCTGCTATTTGTTTTTATAAATAAACACATTGGAAAGAAGTCACACTCACTCATATATTGTTAATGCTATTTACAAGTGTACTACAAAAGCAGAGCTGAGTAGTTGCATGCAACAAATCATACAGCTTACGAAGCCTAAAATACCTGGCCCTTATAGAAAAAAATTGGCTGTAGGAAAAAAGTACTCTTGAGGTTTGTCACCCTGGGTTGTACATCAGAGACCCCTTGTAGAAGGGGTCACCTCAGGGATTCTGCTTCAATTGGTCTGCAGTTAAGATCCAAGTACTATAACTAAAAACTTAAATTTCTCCTGAGTTGCTGAGATTACACAGGTGTGCATCATCATGCCTGGCTTGTGTCCCCTTTTTAAAATAACAACTACTAACATCTATAAAGTCCCGTACTAAATCCACCTCCATCATCTCATCCAATCCTTAAGTACATTTGAGGTTCTAGGAGCAGGAAGCTTTGCTAGCCTTGCTTGAGATAACAAAATTGAGACTCAGAGAATTTAGTCCTATTCCCAGTCTCTATTTAGTAAAAGGCAGCTAAGAAACATGTGTAGGTCATTTAAATCAAGTCCACTGCCCACAAATTACATATTTAGATTTTATTTTGGCATGTGGAATCCCACTTGCTTTCAGTGTCTGTAGAAACGAAAGCATACCTACTATTCCCAGAACCTTAGAAATCTGTCCTCCTAAAGCTGTCTATCCTCCTATAGCTCCTGGGATTCCTTAGGGTCACTGGAGGAGAGGATGTGTGTGTGTAGTAGCTCCAATCCCTGCACCTTCACTTCACCCAGAGCAGATATATTTTTACCATTCAAATATTAGGCTCACACATACAACTGTGTTTGAATAGAATTTCATATGCAAAGACCACTGATGTGGCTCAGACCTCTGTCCATTGTTTTAATCCAAATGTCACGAACACTGCCCCCAAATTCCTGACACTTCTTATATCATCAATCAGTTCTCCCTATTGGTCTGAATGAAGTCCAAAGTAAGTTTCTCAGAGTACCAACACTCTCTTTTGAAAGATGAAGGACTTATTTTTAGTAGACCAGAACTTCCCCCATCTGTCACGGTAACTGGAATGGCTCATTACTTCTTCCTGCCTACTGTTGTATATACTGCGTAATCCATTATAAAAAAGCAACCAGTCTCATTCACTCTCTGGCTGGGCCACAGCATTTCTCCCCAATGTCTGCCTTAAGCCTAACCCAAATGCTCTCTACCTTGCTGCATCCCTTCACTTTCCCGCTTTCTATCTATGGAAGTAAAGTGAGGCATTAATCATGGGGAAAAGGGGTGGAGTAAGACATCTTTTTACATTTCTTTGTTCCCAAGAGGAAAACACAGAGGTGAGAAAACACACATTGGGCGGAACACATTCAACTTTTCATTCCATAACAATATTTGCACCCTTCTGTAAGAGGAGGATGACTAATTGATTAGTCAGAGCCAAGATATTCAATGGGCTGAGTTTTTATCAGACTGGGGCCCGAGTATATGAGATGGTGCTATGGTTAACCTTGTCCTGATAAGTCAGGGTCTATTCTCAAATGTAGAGGGAGGATTAGGGTTGGAGGCAGTAGGAAACTTTCACTGTCAATCTAAATTTAGTTCTAAGAATGACAAGGACATCCAGAGTCAGATCCATGAAATATTCATATTTCACATCTGAGGAAGCAATATTAGTGAATTCTACACCCTAACTGCCAGACATAGCCTAATGCTTAGGAAAGCACAATTCTCCATCTTTTTTTAAAATTGTGTTTCTGGGGATGGAACCCAAGGCCTCAAGCATGCTAGACAAGCTACACCTCTAACCCACAGTCCCTAAATCTTAAATCAAACAGGCTATCATCTTAAATCAGTATTAGGGGCACTTTGACTTTTCATTTTATAATAGCGTCCCTGTTTCTCACTTTACTATTTCTCAAAATATATGGTTCCCTTCATACACACACACACACACACACACACATATATACATACAAACATAAATACTTTTAAACATAAATTCCCAAATCAGGAGAACTGGATAACAAGATAAATTCAAGAAGCCAAGAGCATGGAAGAAAAAGTCAGTCACCAGATTTTACATAAGATCATCTGAACTTCTCTGGCCATTCAACTTCACATATTATTCCAAATACTCTATGTCACATAGTCCACAAGATCTTCCTCTGGGACTCTGATGTAATCAATAGCCATACTTGTCATTAAGATGGGTTCTGCCATCTCCACTTTGGCCTAAATCAAAGTATAAAAAAGAAAGATATTTACTCTTTCAAAGTTGAGAGGAAAAAAGATATTCATATATTTGTAGGCCTAAGTAAAATAAATATTGAGGTTTCCTTCCATGATAGAAACTTTACTTTTTGTATACAATTTTGGAATATAGTCCTTTTTTCATGTCTACCCTAACATTTGTTAGTAGATAAGAAGCAAACATTCTAGTAACTAAACTTCTTCTGATTATAGTATCTTAGAAATACCATCCATAGGGGCTGGGGTTATGGCTCAGTAGTAGAGCGCTTGCTTCACATGTGTGAGGCACTGGGTTCAATCCTCAGTACCACAGAAAAATAAATAAACAAAATAAAGGTATTGTGTCCATTCACAACTAAAATAAATAAATAAATAAACAAAAATAACATCCATAAAAAACACAACATATAATCAGCATATGAAGAAATAAGCATCTGGGGCTAGGGATGTGGCTCAAGCAGTAGTGCGCTCGCCTGGCATGCGTGCGGCCCGGGTTTGATCCTCAGCACCACATACAAACAAAGATGTTGTGTCCGCCGATAACTAAAAAATAAATATTAAAAAATTCTTTCTCTCACTCTCTCTTTAAAATAAATAAATAAATGGTAGGTATTTAAAAAAAAAAAAAAGAAAGAAAGAAAGAAGCATCTAATATATTGCCCTAGGTGTGCATATATGAACACAAAATTGGTAGTCTTTATAGAATACAATTTATAATATCTTAAAAATAACTGTGATCTAGTATGTTAACTTATATTAGTTTTTTCTATAAATGGACCTCTATACTTCACTTATTATATTAGCGGTTACTTATTGCAGAGTTGTTATAAAGGCAAAAGACTGGAAACACAGTATTTAAATAAGTAAAGGTATAGCCACACCATTAAAAAAACCAAAAACAAAAAAAACTATGCTGCCATGTAAAACGAAAATGATAAATTTGTAAGTAATTATGGAAGGCTTTCTATATAGTGCTAAGCACAAAATAGCAAGGAGTAGAAGATGCTTCCACTTGTGCAAAGTGGTGAAATATGTGTTTTATTGTCTATATAGGCATTTTGTTTAATATATAGGAATTATTAAGAAACTGATAATATTTTGTTGTTTTTAGAGGAAAAAAATGAGTAGCTGAGGCACAGACAGAAGACTTTGTTTTCTGTTGATAAAGAAAATTTGAAATATATGCAAAAGCAAATAGAAAAATATAATAAGCCCCATCTACCTCTTATCCAGCTTTAATAATTATTATATGTGGCCAATCCTGCTGTATCTCTTACCGCCCCCCCCCCCCCCTTCAGTACCTTCTCTCAATTTTTTTTTTTTTTTTGGTAATGGGGATTGAACTCAGGGGCACTCCACCACTGAGTCACATCCCCAGCCCTATTTTGTATTTTATTTAGAGACAGGGTTTTACTGAGTTGCCTAGCACCTTGCTTTTGCTGAGGCTAGCTCTGAAATAGTGAACCTCCTGCTTCAGCCTCCTAAGCCACTGGGATTACAGGTGTGCACCACTGTGCCTGGCTTATCTGGATTATTTTAAGGTAAATCCCAGATGTCATTCCATCTACAAATGCTTTTGTATATTTGTCTAGAATATAAGGACTTTTTCCAAAAAATGTAACTCAACATCATTCACTTTTAAAACAAAAAAAATCAATAATTTCTTAGTATCTTACTATCAAATATCCAGTTAGTGTTCAAAATTATCTAGCTGGTTCATAATTTTTAAAACAGCTATTTGCTGTTTTAAAGTAAGGACAGGGTGCACAGATTATATTTAGTTGATATGTCTTCTCAGATCTTTTAATCTACCTATTCTTGCAGAAGGGAAACCTTCACTACATACTCTTGTAACTATTATTTTGAACCTTAAACATGTATGACTTATTCAAATACATAAAGAAATCTAAGAGGAAAGGAAAAAAAAATTTAAAAACTATACCTTCAGGTGGAACCCACACACAGTAGTCTGGGTCATCTTCGGGATATTTAGAAGAAAGTGTGGGGGGAAACTGCAAAAAAAATATGGACTATTTTACTCAAAAGAATTTTAACTCTAAGATAAATTACTGGCTTTATAGTTGCCTGTTTGCAAACAAAAACTAAGCACAGTTTTCATTAATGATGTGGCCATTAATAACCCATTTGGGGGAACATTGAGTCTTGATTTTTTTTTTTCCTCATAAAGCCTCAACAAGCTGAGCTTTCATTAGTGAGAGTGATGTCATGCTTTTTAAAAGGGGCAGTAAACACACGGCAGATATAAGTGCTTAACAAAATAACCTCTGGAGAGGGAAATCTGGCATTTGCCTTTTGACCTAAGTGTAAAAAAGAATTAACAGAGCAAGAATAACTGCTATTCTCTGAAAGCTTGCTTATAGGATTGATCTTTGGCTGGTGTCTGGAACTTGAGTTTTTGGAAGATTATTATTATTTTTTGGTACTGATGATTGAGCTCAGGGGCACTTGACCACTGAGCCACATCCCAAGCCCCATTTTGTATTTTATTTAAAGACAGGGTCTCACTGAATTGCTTAGCGCCTCACCGTTGCTGAGGCTGGCTTTGAACTTGTGATCCTCCAGCCTCAGCCTCCGGAGCCACTGGAATTATAGGCGCGTGCCACTGCACCCAGCTTCTGGAGGATTATTACTATTACCCTAACTGATAAGGGTGGCTCATTGTGTCTCTACTATACAAACAATGTGGTTTATGCTGAACATCTGTTTTCTTTCTGGGAGTCTGGATTTGTGGTACATGCCAATCAGGGAATGCCTATATGATCCATTCCCACCAAAAATAGTACTGAGTCTCTAACAAGCTTCTCTAGTTAGCAAGATTTCACAACTGTTACAACTTATTGCTTGGGAAATTAAGCATGTCCTGTGTATCTCCACTGAAAAGGACCATTCAAATCTTATACTTAGTTTACCCCAGATTCCACCCCAACCCTGTTCATATTGCCAACTGTGCCTGGTATCCTTTTACTGTAGGAAATCATAGCTGCAAATACAACCATATGTTGAGTCCTGTGAGACCTCTTGTGAATTACAGAGAGGTGTCTTGGGCCTGCCAACACAACCCAGCAATTGCACTTCTTGGAACTTAGCATATCCATATAATATTATGTATTCATAAAATTATTCACTATAGCACTGGTGTAATGAAAGCCTAGAAACAATTCAAGTGTCTATCTAAAGGGTACTGGCTAAACAGGGTATATTCATGCACTAAGAAGCTCTTGATATATTGATAAAGAATGATTTCCATGACAGATTAAAAAAAAAATTAAGATACAGAATGGAGTGTGTTTATATCTTTTGTGTAATAAAAAGATGAAAACAGCATGTTATTCAAATGTCTGTATAGCATATTAGGATATGAAGAAAAATTCACAAATTAATCTAAAAAAAAGTAGCATGTATATGAGCAGTTATAGGGAATAGGGTGAATGGAGATAAGAATACAGAATTCAAAAATATAAAAATTAAAGAGTTCAGATTTCTAGGAGAGGAGGCTAAGGCTGTTGGGAACTCTGTCAGTTTCCAAAGATTCACACTCCTAGATGTGGTCTGTCATAAGAGCATTCATTTCAACTTTCAAAGAAAAGTACTTACCTTGCCTGGACCAGGAGCTTTCTTTTTCTTCAATTCATCTCTGCTTTTCTCATATTCATTCTTTGGTGCTAATTTAAGGGGGAAAAATGATAATAACTATTTTCTGAAAAAGTAATAGACAAAGAAAGATCTTCTCCTAAGACAGTGTTAAAATTACTGAAGAAAACATCAGTGACAATCTACTACTATAAAAATGAAGGAGCTTGGCATGGTGGCTTGTGCCTGTAATTCCAGCAGCTTGGGAGGCTGAGGCAAGAGAATTCAAAGCTAGCCTCAGCAAAAGTGAGGCACTAAGCAACTCAGTGAGACACTGTCTCTAAACAAAATAAAAAATAGGGCTGGGGATGTGGCTCAGTGGTCAAGTGCCCCTGAGTTCAATCCCTAGTACCCGTCCCCCTGCCACACATACACACAAAAAACATATTAAAAGGAGAGCATTTTTCTTTCACTGATATCCCTAGTTTTTAAAACAAGGCTATAAGCTTGAGGTATGATGAGGATGATGAGGCTATTTCTATTATTCCACATTTTAACCATTATAAGTAAAACCAGATAAAAGCAGTCCCTTTTCTTTTATTGATATTTTTTAATTTTTTTTTTTTTGTGGTGCTGGGGATTGAACCAGGGTCTTGTGCATGTGAGGCAAGCACTCCAGCAACTGAGCTATATCCTCAGCCCTTTTTTTTATTTTTGTACCAGGGATTGAACCCAAGGGTGCTTAGCCACTGAGACACATACTCAGTCCTTTTTTAATATTTCATTAAAATATTAAATATCGCTAAGTTGCATAGGGCCTCGTTAAGTTGCTGAGGCTGACTTTAAACTCCCAATCCTCCTGCCTCAGCCTCCCAAGCTGCTGGGATTACAGGTGAGTACCACTGCACCCAGCAAGCAATCCTACTTTACCAGGCTCACTGTGCCTCTACTGTACAAATAGTGTGGTTAATGCTGAACCTGCTTTCTTTTTAGGAGTCTGGATTTTGGGTATATGTGAGGCAGGGAATGTCTATGTGATCAATTCCCAACAAAAATCCTCAGCACTGCGAACCTTTCAAGCAATTTAATAGATTGGGAATCATTTCCATAGTAAGACATATTCAATTGGGAGATGTAAAATTGGGGTAGGCTTTGTATGGCTAGAGGGAAGCATCAAGACATCAGGTGCTTTGTAGGACAGGGAGAAGAGGAGTAAAAGGCACATGAGATAGCACCAAACACAAACCTTTCACATACTCCAATTTCATTCAGGGTGCTGGTGGTTGCACCTACCTAGGATCTATATGGCCATTTCCTATGCTGCCTTAGGGTCAGCTGCCAACCCCTCTTTTTAAAGTTAGGATGTATCTGCACACAGAGAGGCAAAAGAGTCTGCTATGCTACTTACCTGATGGTTCTTTGCATGATGAAGATGTTTCATTAATCTCTTGATAATTTTTCTTCTGTTCCATGTGGCTGATTTGAGACATGTTTTCTACAAAAAACAGTACCAAAGCCTACTGTTATTATTTAATTCATGGTGGACAGACAAGAAAACAAAACAAACAAACAAACAAAAAGCAAAAGAATCTATGCCTATATATGATAATCTAGTTTTATTGTCATTAGCTTCAACTAACTTTTTTTATTTTTTCGGTACTGGGGATTGAATCCAGGGGCACTCAACCACTGAACCAAATCCCAGCCCTTTTTTGTATTTTATCTAGAGACAGAGTATCACTGATTTGCTGAGGGTCTCAATAAGGTGCTGAGGCTGGCTTTGAACTTGAGATCCTCCTGCCTCAGCCTCCCAAACTGCTGGGATTACAGGCATGTGCAACCGTGCCTGGCAGCTTCAACTAACTTTAATGAGGTTTCCAATAAATGTATCTCTCTAGATATCTAACAGGACCAATTTTCCACTTAAAAAACCCAGCCAACTTTGAGGTAAACTTACTGGCAAAACTTACCAAAAGCCTTAAAAATATACATATTTCTTGGTGTAGAAATTGTACTCCCAGGAACATTTTTTTTTTTTTTTTAAAAACCAGAGTCAAGCACCAAGATTAAGTGTTTACAATAGCAAACATTAAGAAGTGATTTGTATGTTTAATAAGTAAAAGTTAATAAATTATGACATATCCAAGTGATGCCCTACCCCTAAGTACAACATTTAAAAATAGCATTTTAAGATAGGTGCAGTGGCACATGCCTGCCATACTGTGACTTGGGAGGCTGAGGCAGGAGGATCACAAGTTCAAAGATGGTCTTAGCAATTTACTGAGTCCCTAAGCAACTTAGCAAGACCTTATCTCAAAAAAGAAAAAGGGCTGAGGATGTGGCTTAGTAGTTAAGCACTTCTGGGTTTAATCCCTGATACCAAAACAAAACAAAATTAAATAAAAAACATTTTAAGACAGGGAAAAAAACAGGCTATAAAATAGCATGTAAAATAGGATCCTCATGCTGTAAAAATAAAAAACTAGAGGAAAAAAAGGCCTGGAACAATCCCTCAGCAGTCACGGATTTACCAATTTAAATTTATAAACCAGATTTTAAAACCTATGCCATTTTCATACACAGGTATACTTTGGTCCCTAAACAACAAAATATAATACTTATTGCTCCCCTTCCTACTGGTATGGCCCAAAGTCCCAGGTGCAGAAAAAACTACATATAAGTATCTTTTTAAAAAGGCAAGTATTTTGCCAACAACTAAACAAAGAAGGCAAATAGGTGAGGAAACAGTAACTTTTCTGTTCCTCAGACACAGTTGAAGGTGACTCAAGAGGAAGACTGTACCCCAGGCCTACTGTTGTAAGTACACCGGTGTAGTCTCTGAAGTAGATATGCACACATTCCCACACACATTTAACACCAGTGTTTATTTTTCCTCACATTCCCTATTTTTTGTGAGATCTTAATCTTGCTAAACAGTTTGGCAACCTGCAGGAAAATAACTCCTACAGTTAATAAGGAATAAGAGGCACTAAAAGATAAATAGTAATTTCTAGAGATGAGATTTGGAAAGATTTCTTTTTTCTTCTTTGGACTTTTATATCTAAAATTTCTAAAATGCATAAATATTCTTTTCATAATCACAAAAATTATTTTCAAATTAATCAATTCCCTCTCTCAATATTTTTCATTAAATCTTTTCTCATGAGGGTGAGTGTTATGTGCCAGATTCTCTTTTAGATACTATAGACAAAAAAATGAATAAGGCATGATTCTTGTTGAGAACTTTAGTTCATTAGGCTTAGCCTCGTTTAAGGGTGGGGAGAAAAATGAGTAAGGGGAGATTCATCCTGAGATCACCTAATCAGGCCCCAACACTCACACTTCTCCCCTGCCCTCCACCTCTAAAGTGGCATCAGCTCAGGGTCATTCCTCAGCAGCCGTGATGACATAATCTACATATTTCAATCCTCTATCATTCTGGAACACACTGGAAATACTTCCCTTTAATATGCAATAGAATAAATAATGACTGGCAATCAAAGGAAGAGGACTAACTACATTTCCTTAGTACAGAGTCAGTGTCTCAAATATACAATGTCAAAACTCATAGACAAGAACTAGTTTGCTTTTTTAACCCTATCCATAAGTAATACAACTGGCCCTCTGAATAGCACCAGGTGGAGAAAGATATTACCATGGTTTTTTGTTTCCTTAGAACATGTGAGATCTGTGGGAGAACTCATTTCCTGCACTGAAGTTTCTGGCTCTATCTCCTGTGGCAACCTGCTGTTTCCATCCTCCATTTTCTCTTCGTGCTCCTCCTTTTCTTTCTCTTCTTCTTCATCTTCTTCTTCCTCCTCCTCTTCTACTTCAGGCTCCTCCTTCATTCTCATTAGAGCCGGAGGGAGTTCTGGACGCTTGGGGGGCAATTTCTATGAGGGAAACAAAACCACAAATGTGTAGTTCTACATAATGATAAAAAAAAGAGGCAAATTTCTCCCAGGAGGTTAAACTAAATGCATAGAATGTCTAACTCTCTAGGTTGATAAATCCTGCAAAAGCAGGCTGGAAGTAAAATTTTCACATAAAATGGTATCCATCTATGGACCCTTAACAAGTATGTTTATTAGTTTATAGGATCAAAACATTTTTAGGACTGAGGTGTAACTCAATGGTAAAGTGCTTGCCTAGCATGTACAAGGCCCTGGGTTTGATTCCCAGCAATGTGGGTTGCAGTGGTGGGGAGAGAACAGGCTAAAGATTATTAAATACCAAACATTTGAAACAGCTCGGAGGGAATTAAAACATTTATTCCAGAGGAGCAATAGCTGTAGGAATTCTATCATATTTGACCTCTTAATATTAAAGGACCCTAATTTATTACAAAATCTTCTAGGGAGTAAATCAGACACACATTCCCAAGAAAGAAGTCATCGTATTGTTTTTTTCCTTTTAGACTTAATGTAATTTCAAGGAAATAAGACTTGTAAAACAGTAAAACTGATCCTGAAGAATAGGAAGACATTTCTTAAAGTATAAAGCAACATAATTTTTTTTTTTTTTTTAAAGACACTGTTTTCCTATGTCACCCAGGCTGACCTAGAACTCCTGGGCTCCCAGTGATCCTCCTGCCTTAGCCTCCCAAGTAGCTGAGACTATAGGCATATGCCACCATATCCAGAAAAGCACGTTTAAATCAAGGCCTTTCAATATGAGCACTTATTAGGAAAAGTTGATCATATTTGTGGAACAGAAGTTTCAAAGTATACCTTGTTTATATCTTTTTTAAAAAATATATAACTTAGTTTGGTAATCCTCTAAGAAAGTCATTTTAGGAAAGCATTTTTCTTCTATTTAAAACATAAACACTGCCCCTACCCCAAAGCTTCCCTCTTCCATAAACCACACAACTCATTCAGTACACATAGCTGAGACTTCATCTCTGCCACCAGAGGGCAGTATATCCCAATACAAGGTATTAATGGGCTGAATCCTCCCTACTTCCATATCCTGCAAATTCACATTTTGAAGTTCTAATCCCTAGGACCTCAGAATGTGACTGTATTTAAACATAATAAATGAGGCATTTAGGACAGGGCCCTAAGTCAATATTACTGGTGTCACTAGAAGATACTCCAAAAGTGCAAATGCACAGGGGGACTATCAAGTGAAAGAGCAGCAAGAGGGGGCAACCATCTGCAAGTCAAGAAGGAAACCAACTGTCAGCACCTTGATCTTAAGACTTCCAGCATCTAGAACTGTGAGAAAATAAATTTTTGTGTTTTAAGCCACCCATTTTGTGGCATTTTGTTATAGCAGCCCTAGCAAACTAATACCCCACAGGTTCAGTTCTTTAGAGTGATTAAAAAAAAAACTTTTAAAAGCTAAATCTATAAATAGGAATATATGTAAAGCAAAAACAACCATCAGTGAGACATTATAGAAGAGTAGAAAGATCATAAAACTTAGGATAAAAGATGGATCTGATAGTGTTATATGGTATTTTGCCTGGTTTTTCTTCTTTAAGACATAGTATTTCCCACAAGTTATAAGGTATCGGAAGGATTAAACAGAGTATGGAAAATCATATGGCAGAGACAAGCATATACGTTACATTCCTAATAAATATTATTTGAGTCTGACTATTACATCCATTCACCAGGTTAAAAACATTTAACTGAGTCAGATGTGGTAGTGCACACCTGTTATCCCAGGTATTTGGGAATTTGGGGCAGAAGGATCACAAATTCAAGGTTAGCACAGGCAACTTAGCAAAACCCTATCTCTACTGCACCTACTCCACCTGCCCCCCGCCGCCAAAAAAAAAAAAAAAAAGCATTCAGTGTAAGAGATCTATTTCTAAACCCAATATTCATTTGAAATTAACAAACTATTACTTGAATTTACAAATCAGTTACTTACAAACTGACTGGTATGAATTAATTTGCCAATTCTTATAATTCTAAATTGAACAGAAAAAGCTAACAAGCAAATTCTGGGAAAGATATGACTATACCAAACCCATAACCCTTTTTAACACACTGGTGTAATGAGTCACTCGTAAAATAAAAATTAGCTCAGGGATAACTCACCAGTTAAATAACACTCTACCTTGACTCACAACTTACCCCTACTGTTCCAGTTTTTAACTTGAATTTGCTTCCTCCTTTCATAGCACCAAAGAGAGGCAGTGTAAGTTTCTTAGCTTTATTTTCTGTATCTGTAGTCTGACTTTCAGTCCTAGGAAGAAAGAACAATTATACATATCTATTCTGGTGAGTCCAAGGTTTTATCTATAAATATTGTAACACTGACAAAGAAACTGCTGGTAAAACAAAAGTGACTACAAAATGAGTATCTGGAGCATACAACAAGAAGGAGGTATTCAGGCAAGCAGAGTTTGAATGGACAATGACATTGCTGACTATCATGAACAGAATTATTAAGGGCAAGATGATACTGCTCCCTTAGATGAATAAATTACAACATGCTACAGTCATCATCAAATGATGACTACAGTACAAAGGTCACTGGTAAAGGAGAATACATTAAGCATGACCCCATTTCCATTAAGTGGCAGGAGATGGATCTACGGTGTAAAGCCCTATTTCCCACCAATCTCTGAAGTGACTTACTTTACTTATCCAGAGTTCACACTTAACCATAACCATGTGCTATGAGCAAAGACATTAAAAAAAAAAAAAAAAGGAAGTGTGTGCATAGGTTGGGGGTAGGTCAGATAGCTTGCATAATTAAGAGAGTGCAACTATTGAGGTTGTCAACATTCTAATTGGCTAGAGATGGTTATAAAAGCCAAGCCCAAGAGAGTAAAGCTGAAAAAGAATAAAAAAGAAGAAATTAGAAAAGAGAAGGAACAGAACAGTAAAAACAAAAAAGACAGCAGTTAACAAGACACTGAACTTGTCAGAGTAGCAAAGGTGACAATGAGAGGTAGGCAAAGGCAATAATTAGAAGATGTATGAAGACACAGGGGAAAGTAAGCAGAGGTCACAAAGGCAATGAGGAGATGGCTTAAGGAAACAGGAAAACTTAAAAGAACCAAACTAGACCAGGGAAAAAAGCCCCATGTTGCCTTCACCTGGACCATGGGACACTCCTGCAAACTGGAATATAAGGACAGGACTGACACTTTTAGACCTTATGAGGAACTGACTACCCTGGCCTATTCTGAAGCTCACTTGCTGCCTGCCATCTTTGAATTAAGTCTTGTCCCCTTCCCTAGTGGCATTCTTGGGATCCAGCTTCACCACCTTTCTCCCTATCAGAGTCAGAACCCATTCTCTTCTTATGACCACCAGAAAAATCCTGCCTGCCTGACCCTGAAATACCCTCTGCTAAATCATGACCCTTTGCACCCATCCCTATAAGCCTCATAGACAGAGAAAGGTAATAACACAGATGTTTTTCTACTACATTAAATAGCAGATATTTAATAGCTATTAAATGACTGGGCTAGTCTGGAGGATGTGCAAAGACTGGCTCAAAGGAAGTGAAAGAGCAGGAGAGAGGATCACAACTAGGAGTTGCTTGGAGGATAAGTCCGGGAGGCAGAGTTAGGTAGAAACTTTGGAAATTCAACTCTGGAGAGAGAAGTGGAGGGAGAAGTTAGGAGCATCTGGCCAGTAGCCAAGAAGGGAAAGAAAAGAGAAATCAGGCAACCACACAGACCACCAACAAGAAGGGAGCCTCCAGAGGAAGCAGAAACATGTCTTTTAGCTCAGAACACCACCCAAGGGGCTGACTTAACAAGTTAAAGGATGATCAAGGTGAAATTAAACTCACAAGTAATTTGTTTACCCTGCATATGTCCCCTGAGTTCTTACTTACAAAAACAATGTTATGAATAGTTGCTAGACACAACAGAAATAGTAAAACTTAAGACAATCATGTCAATAATATATGTATACCAGCACTTTAAGTGCTATCCATTTAATCTTTGCATCTTCATTACCTCCAATTTACAAATGAAAAAAGTGATGACCAAAGAAGTAAATTAACTTGCCTCAAAATACCCAAAAAGTAATTGCTAGAGCTGAGAATTAAACCTAGGAAGTCTAACTCTGTGGAACCTATTTCTCACCATCATTAAGTTAGGTAATTTAGATGTCATACTGGTTAACTGGACATTTGTGATTAGGATTAGGAATCACTACACAGTAGTCCTCTCTGATCTCCAGTAGATACCTAAATCTATGGATAACACTAAGCTCTTTATTTATTTTCTCCTATTCATACATTCACAAATTTATTGTCTTTCCATCTTTGTATGTGTGGGTATGTTATCAGAGACTGAACCAGGGCCTCATACATGCTAGGAAAGCATTCCATAATTGAGCTACATCCCCAGCCCTTTTTATTTTACTTTAAGACCTAAACTTCCAAGTAGCTAGGATTATAAATTTGTACCATAGCACCTGGCTTGAGAAGGTACCTTTTAATATGTAGATATTCCTATATAATGCCATCAGGTTACAAATTTCATACACAGGGATGAGGGACTTAAGTATTTACTGACAAACTAAAGTAGAGTCCAACAGAACTTTCTGCAATGATGAAAATTTTCTATATTGCACTATCCAATACAGTAGACACCAGCCACATGTGGCTACTGAGCACCTGAAATGTGGCTAGTATAACTGAAAAACTGAACAGTTAATGTTATTTAGAGAAATTTTAGCTAGATACAGTGGCACATACCTATAATCCCAGCAATTTGGGAGATTAAGGAAGGACAATCACAAATTTGAGATTAGCCTCAGCAACTTAGCAAGGCCCTGTCTCAAAATTTAAAAAAAAAAAAAAAAAAAAAAAAGGGGCCAAGGATGTAGCACAGAGGTAAAGCACCCCTGGGTTCAATCTCAGTATTGAAAACAAAACAAAACCAAAAAAAAAAAAAAACAAAACCCACACACAAAAACAAACAAAAAACAGAAGAAAAAAAGAAATTTTAGCTTTAATAATACATGTACCTACCTATTGGGTGCTATATTGAATAGTATTAACTAATGAAAATAAGAAACTTCCTGCAGTTAACCACCTTCAGAAGTGGATGAACCCATGTAGCTAGTACTACTTTTTGAGATCCCACCTGAACTGTGCTCCTGGGGGTTGTTTATTTCTATAACAATCTATTCTACATTTTCAAAATTTAATGAGACCATATAGAATAAAATTTTAAATACTGTCAAGTTGAAAGACTGGATCGTTCCCCAGCCCCTATACATACTCTCTCACTCATAAATTATCCTCAAAATCTGACTTAGAAATGACTTGATAATCTTCTAGATGTCTCCAAATGAATTTGAATTAATCTAACCCAATAATTTTCCCAAATGCAAAGTTAACAAAATTCACTTCTAGATTATGCTTCCTTCCTTTAAAGGAAGAGATTTTGCTTTAAAAAAAAATTCACACAAATTGAACAATTTTCAACTGGTTCTTAAGAATGATAAATATAGGAATTAAAAGACAATTTGTAAGCCAGGCATGGTGGTGCACACCTGTAATCCCAGTGGCTTGGGAGGCTGAGTCAGGAGGATCACGAGTTTGAAGCCAGCCTCAGCAAAAGTGAGGCACTGAGCAACTCAATGAGACCCTGTCTCTAAATAAAACACAAACTAGGACTGGGAATGTGGCTCAGTGGTTGAGTGCCACTGAGTTCAATGTCTAGTAAATGTTAGCCAATTTGTGCTTTTGGCTTTTTCTCTGTGGTTTTTAGAAGCATCCAAGTCCAAGATTTATCACTCCTGAGAAAAGAATGTCAAGAATGACATGTACAGACTCAATTTAAAACTATGGGAGGGGGTGGAAATATAGTTCAGTGGTAGAGTACTTGCCTAGCATGCCCAAGGCCCTGGGTTCAATTCCCAACATTAGAAGAAAAAAAAAAAATTGTAAAACTATTTTACAAGATCATCATTCCTGATTATGAAAAGCGGCTGTGTCAAGCCCTTGTCCAGGCTAATCTAGTGAGCTCTAACCTAGCTCTGCTGGTTTAACCCCAGATTTACAACTAGAAAGAAGAAAAGAAAAACGAGAAAGATGGCAAGCTACATCCTACTTCACAACTTCCAGCCATTTGTTTCAGAAGTAAATCAGGGTCCAGCTCCTGGGGTCCCTCATCATAGGTATCTCCCTCTTCTCTCTCTGCACATTCATTGTTAGAACTGGGGTTTTTCTAATAAAAAGGGCATCTAAACCTTTGCCTACTATATGCCTAATGTACCCAAAGAAATATTCACACATCTATAGTGAGATGTTTCTCCTCACCCCCAAGGGATAGATTTGCTTTTATTAAGAAATAGTTTCGGGGCTGGGAATGTGGCTCAAGCGGTAGCGCGCTCGCCTGGCATGCGTGCAGCCCGGGTTCGATCCTCAGCACCACATACAAACAAAGATGTTGTGTCCGCTGATAGCTAAAAAATAAATATTAAAAATTCTCTCTCTCCCTCTCTCACTCTCTCTTTAAAAAAAAAAAAAAAAAAAAAGAAATAGTTTCACTACAACAAAACGGATAATATGATGATAATACTATTTTTTTTTTTTGGCAATGCTGGAGATGGAACTCAGGACTTCAATCCTGCTAGGCAAGCACTCTACACTAAGCCACATCTCCAGTTGTTAGTATGATATTTAATTTTCCAGCTATTTAATATTTAAAACTAAAACTGTAACCACATTACAATAAATTTAGACCTACAGCAGTATGGATATTTGACATAGGATTTTCTTTTTAAAATAAATATATTTGAATAGAAAGTATACTCACTTGGTTCAAAACTCAGAAAGTATATAAAGGTATATATATATTGTGAAAAGTCTCTCTCTTTTTGCTGACCCCCACCCACTGTAGTTCCCATTCCCAGGGGTCAATTATGTTATCAGCTTCTTAAAAAAAAAAAAAAAAGTTTTTTGAGAGGGGAGGCAGAGAGTTACTGAGGATCAAACCCAGGTGTGCTCTACCACTGAGCTACATCTCCAATACTTTTTTACTGCGAAATTGCCCAGGCTGGACTTAAACTTGTAATCTACTGCCTTAGCCTCCTGAGTATTTGGGATTATAGGTGTGTACCAAAGCACTTGAAACCTTTTTTTTTCTTTATTGGTGCATATTAATTATTCAAAATAGTGGGCTTTGTTGTACCATATTTGCATATTATCAGCTTTTAAAAAAAAATGTTTTTAGTTGTGGACACAATACCTTTATTTATTTATTTATTTTTATAAAATAAATAATTGAGGATTGAACCCAGTGACTCACACATGCTAGGCAAGTGTTCTACCACTGAGCCAAAACCCCAACCCCTTGTTATCAGCTTTTTATAAATCTTGCCAGATATACAGTAGCATATGCTGCTGGAATCCTTCTCAGATTTTCTTAATGAGGACAACCAGGTACTGCAGACACTGATGGCTAAAGGTCCACACTTGCACCTTTCTCAGAATTCCTGTGTGTCCTTTCTCAACTATCCATCGTCAATAAAAGGTTGGGTGGCGGGTATAAAAGCCCAAGCTCTTAGTCTCTAAGGCATCTGTGATGCCATTACAGCTCTTGAAACTACTTCTTTGCCCAGCTTCTTCCTCTACCTATCCTGCTCCCTCACTCCTCTACAAATTTCTCCCAAGAGCACTGTCTCAGTAAATCACTTGCATACAAATATCTATCTCAGAGTCTGTGTTTAGAGAACCTGACCTAAACAGATCATACATATATAATCAAGCAATGGCCTACTGATGTATTCTTTCTTTACCACAGACAATCCTTGATGCACATTTTTCTGTTACTTAATATATCTGACAATGTTTCCACATTTTACTTAGTTGCCTATTTTTTTACAGCTACATAATATTCAATTATATATGTATATTATAATTTAGTTAGCCCATTCCCTTTGATAAATATTTAGGTAGATTCTCATCTTTTACTACTATAAATAATGCTACAATATATATTGTTCATTTCCTAAGAATGTAAAGAACCAATTTCTAGAAATTATAATTACATCTAATAATAATTAACTCAAAGGTCATATGTATTTGTAACCAGGATAGAAACTGCCAATTTGCCCCGTATAGGGAAAATCACAATTTGCCTTTCAACAAAGCAAAAAAAATAACAAAATAATAATAATTTGCCTTTCAAGAAATGTCTTTTAGTCATGGCTTCACTGGCACAGTATATTTGAGTTTTTGTGAATTTCATGGATAAAAAATGTGTTACATTGTAGTATTTATATTTTTCTTACAACAAGTGAGGTCGAACATATTTTCATATAGTTAGGAATAATTTGTATTTCTTTTTCTGAGGCCTGCTGGTTGATATCCTTTCCCTATTTTTCTCTTGGGTTGTTGGTTATCTATTTATTATTCATAGTTTTGTTTTTGTTTTTTTGTTTTCCAGTACTTGGGATTGAAGCCAGGGCCTTGTGCATGCTAGGCAACTGCTCTAACACTAAGCTGTATCCCCACATCCCCAGGTCCTCCTCCCCATTTTTTTTTTCTTTTTAATTTTGAAACTGGGTTTCACTAAATTTCCAGGCTGGCCTCAAACTTGAACTTCTCCTACCTCAGTATCCCAAATAGGGGTTACAGGTGTGCATTACGTGTAAGGCTCACAGGTCTTAAATTGGTTTCTGTGCATGTTGTTTTTATGAAAAGTTTATTGTGCAGCAAAAGATGAAGTAAAAAACTTTAGAGCCTTCCAGTGAATCAGGAATCTACATAGTTTCTTCTGAAAATCCTCCAACAATCCATAGTTCACAAATTAAATGGGGTTTTAGTTACTCTATAAGACCAATGCTTTAAGGTTTTCCGTGCTAGGCTGGGATATGGGAGCACATGCCTAGCATGCATGATGGTCCTAGGTTCAATCTCCAGCACAGCTTAAAAAAAAAAAAAAAAAATTCTATAATTATAATAATTATTTAAGAAGATAAAAGAGAAATTCAGGGTATTAAACACCACATTTATTTAAAATTCCAAATATCAATGGATTACTTACTTTTTTAGTTCTGGAATCTCTGCTGGCTTTACAATTTTTATTAACCCTTTAAGCCTCTGTTGTTCTTTCCTCAGTTCGAAAGTTCTGAGATGAAGTTTCTTCCTGGACACACCATCTAATGCACTCCCTGATTTCATTTCTGACATGAATGCATCTAAAGAATCCTGAGGTGGGGACTCTGACAGAGCTGTCCAAGAAAGGGATAATACATATTTAGGCAGATTACTCCAAATACTTTTAAATTCAGCCAAAATTTCTAGAGAAAAATCACTTATATAAAGCTAGTTAGAGAACATTACTGAGATTAGGAATAAGAAAACAGATTATAGCTATGTGACTTTGGGAAGTGACTTAGAATGAGTTTCATTCAACTCAACTGTTAAATAAAGAGGTTAGCCCAAACGATTTACAATGTTCCTTCTAGCTCCAAAATGCTATACTATACTGCTCCTTAGAAAACCTTCATATTCTATATATGTTATTAACCAGAGCCTAACACAATGCAGTATATATACTAGGTGCTCAATAATATTTGATGACAGCCTTACCTTTGCTTGAGGACTTGAGCCTCTCAGAAATTTCAGAGAGTTCCCTTTCAGCATCATTTAACTTTGCAACCTGTAACATCCAGATCAACAGGGTTAGCAAATGTTTTCCCTCTTTGCAATTGTTTATCATCCTCCTATTTTCACTATTGTTACTACAAGCTTTAAGCGGATTAGTTCAAAAGGCCAGCAAAATCTGATCCTTATTACTTTTTGCTGGTTTAATTCTAGCTGAATTAATTTTTAAATGAAAGAATTCAGAATTAAACAGAATAAGTAACTCAGATTTTACTTCAAAGGAAGCACTTCTAGGCATTTGTTTTCATTGATGAATCGAAAGAACAGATGTTGGATAATGTTTTTAAGCTCTGAATTCTACTACACAGTGTTAAATGCATACCACACCTTATGATAATTTCATGAAAGATATACTGTTCCAGACTGACACTATACTATATTTCTCAAAATCCTTTCGATTCCTCTTGACTACCACAGTCCTAAAGTCAATTTCACCTTGGATGCCCTAATTTGGAAATTTTTCTTTTCTTTTTGGGGAATATCATATTCAAAAAAATGTTCATTAATGGATTAATATAATCCTGGAGCAAAGTTTCTAGCAGCAAGTCATATTTTTCTTTCCAACATCTTGGATAAGACTAGTGTTTGTTATCATTAAATTTATAGATTATAGATTTTAATGATACTACTTTAAAATTATAATTATCACAAAAGAGATTTCTATAATGCATTGATTATAAAACAAAAACAAAACAAACAAGCTACCACAGCTAATTTTATAAGTAAAACTTACCAGTGATTCAAAGGTCTCTGGCTTCTCATCAATCTTCCCAGCCTTCTTCATTCGGTTAAGACGCTTCTTCTCCACAAGGCCAGTGCGATCAAGGAATGTGTCATCATCACTATCATAAAAATCTTCATCTTCCCAGTTCTTGGCTTTCCTTTTCCGAGATACTAGAGGTCATAAAATGAAAGAATGATAATGAATAATAATAATGAAATAAATTTTATAAAGAGAAAAAAGGCAAGCAGATTAAACAGGATTTCCACAAGCTGCCAACCCACACACACAAAAAAGGGCTAGCTGGGCACAGTGGTGCACACCTGTAACCCCAGCGACTCAGGAGGCTGAGCCAGGAGATCAAAAGTTCAAAGCCAGCCTCAGCAAAAATGAGATGATAAGCAACTCAGTGAGACCCTGTCTCTAATAAAATACAAAACAGGACTGGGGATGTGCCACTGAGTTCAATCCCTGGTACACTAAAAAAAAAAAAAAAAAACAACCAACCAACCAAACAAACAAAAAAGGGCTAAACCTTGAAAACATTATGCTAAGTAAAATAAGTCAGACACAAAAGGACACTTATTCTATGATTCCATTTATACAAGGTACCTAAAGTAGTCATATTCACACAGGGAAAAATAGAATGGTAGTTCTCAAGGTTCTGGAGAGGAAAAAGAACTTGGTACGGTTGCAACACAGAATAATTAAAAAGTTCTGAGATGAACAGTGGTAATAGTTGTAATGTGAATACGCCTAATGCCACTGAATTATATATTTAAAATGGTATATTTTATGTTGTGTATGTGTGTGCATACATATATACGTATATATACATATATGTGCGTGTGTGCGCATGCGCGCGCGCCCACACACACACACACACACACACACATATACACGTGTATATACACATACACTTTTTTACTTTTTGGCAGGAAATTGAAGCCTGGACCTTGCACATGCTAAGCAAGTACTCTACCACTAAGATACAGCCCTCTTATGTACATTTTACAACAATAAAATAAATAAAACAGGGCTGGGATTGGGGCTCAGTGGTAGAGCACTCGCCTAGTGTGTGCGAGGCCCTGGTTTGATCCTTAACACTACATAAAAATAAATACATAAAACAAAGGTATTGTGTCCAACTACAACTAAAAAATAAATGTTTAAAAAAAATTAAAACAAATGGTCAGTTTACTGAGCAAAAGGCTCTTAAAAATCAGTGAGTAATGAAAAAAATCAGCATAAAAAAGGAAAAAGATAAATGAGAAAAAGACCACTAAAACAAAGGAATAAGCCAAGAAATATGAGAATTAAGAAACAGAAAATCCGATCCTAGAGAAAATCAAAGGAAATCCTCAAGGATGATAGCAAGTCAAGTCTCAGGTGACAGTCTTGCAGCAGATCTAGAAAGCAATATGCCTAAAGGTCTAAAAGAAGGAAAGTAGTACTCTTCAGAAGGAATGTCTCAAAAAATACTCAGAACTGATAATTAATATGATTGAACAATGTGAAAAAATATATTGAAAGCCTATTGAAAAGTATGAGAAGAATGGGAAAGAGGTTAATAAAAAACAAAAACAAATCCAAACACATGGAAAAAAAAACATAAACATTATCTTTAGGGAAAACAAAACTGTTGAGCTCTATTATTTGTATCAACATAATCAAATAAATATTGAATAATTAAATGGAGTCAATAGGTAATGTCTAAAATAAGTGACTCAAAATAAAACACTATATTCTTATTTCTTGGAAATACAGGTATTTTTTAAGTGCCAGAAGAAATGACTGAAAAAAGTTGAAAAACTCGACAAATGAACAGGATTAGGGCAGGGAACAGGTACATTTTATTGTAATAAAGACAGCCATAAGTTACTTGGCAATGTTAAAAATTAATTTTGGAAGCTGGGCACAGTGGCACATGCCTTAATTCCAGCTGCTGGGAGGCTGAGCAGGAGGATAGTGAGTTCATCACCAGCCTCAGGAGGACAGCTAGTTCATCTCTAGCCTCAGTAATTTAGCAACTCACCTAGACCCTGTCCCTAAATAAAACATTTAAAAAGGCCTGGGGGGATGTGGCTCAGTGGTTAAGAGCCCCTGGCTTCAATCCCTAATACTACAAAAAAAAAAAAATTAATTAATTAATTTTAGGATATTTGAAAATATAATATAGACCTCATTAATAAATGATTGTATAGCCAGCCCACCACTTTTTTTTTTGGTACTGGGGATTTAACCAGGGACTCTTTACCACTGAGCTACATTCCCAGTCCTTTTTATTTTTTGAGACAGGGTCTCACTAAGTTGCTGAGGGCCTTGCTAAGTGGTGAGGCTGACCTCATACTTGTGATCCCTTTGTCTCAGCCTCCCAAGTCGCTGGGATTACAAGAGTGTGCCGCAGCACCCAGCTAGCCACTTTTTTTTTAAAATGAGGAAAATCTACTGTGTTGATACAAATAATCCATGACACATTCTTATGTTAAGAAAGTAAAAAAAAAGCACAAGTAACAAGACTGCATTGATGACAAGTGTATGTTTCTTATTAGAGAATCTAGTTCTAATTTTTTTTTTTAAGTTCTAAATATCAAACCCAGGGGCTTTGCACATTCTAGGAAGCACTCTACCACTGAGTTATAACCTCAGCAGGATCTAGTTCTAAACACATATGTATAGAATATGTTTGGAAGAACATAAACAATAGCTACCTTAGGATACTGAGAAAGGGAATTTTTTCTTTAAAACATTCTATACAATTTACATATTCCTCCTGAAAAGAGATTTTATTGCCTTTTAAGTTTTCCTTTTTAAAGAAAAATGACCCCCATATGCTGACCTGCTTCCTGCCGCAGCAATCCCAAAGTATCAAGGATCCGGCAAGCTTCCAGTGAGCACTGAATCATTGCTTCTTTTTTCTTTCCTGAGTGAATGGCCTCAGCCACCAGCTGTTTCCCAGTTGAATCATCCACAGGTAATCTGCATTGGGGGAATTTGAGGGAATTAAAGCTCCAATTCATATGAAAACAATTAATATGCTGTGATGACATTCATGTTTTTTAGATGGCTTTTCAATCTCTCAATTTTGTTCTATCTTGCCAAGGTTAGACTTCAAGTTTTTTTCCTTCTACCTCTTACAAATCTCATCCCCCTTCCAATATCATAAGTGTAGTTATAGTATCAAGGCACAAATTTAGGAATAGTCTAAAATTCAGACTAAAGTTACTCTTTGGGTTGTTATCTACAACCATAAATTAACCTGAAATTGGCCCTTTTTCAGAAATAGATATTACTAAAAAAGAACATACCTCACCCTGCAGAGCCAAGTGCTATGTCCCTGTTCATCAAATTCATATTCTAGTTCTTCTCCTGTGGAAGAAATATAATTTTAAAAATAGGATCTAAAAATTAGGGGTTGATACAATAAGAGAGGCAAAGGTTAAATGAGGAAATCAAATTTCCATATCACACTGAATACTAAATTTCAATACATTTTACTTCTCATTCCTAGGGATTACCATCTGATAATAAAACTAGAATGAGCATGATACAGAGGAACGAAAACTCATATCAAAACAATCAACTTGGGCTAGGGGGGTGGGCAGCTTAGCAATAGATGACATGGTAAGCATATGCAAGGCCCTGGGATCAATCCCTAGTACCACTAAAAATCAAACAAAAATAAACCAATTCTCCATACACAGTTTTGTTCACTCCATAGTAGTTTTCACACTTTCTATAAGTTGTAGATTTAAGTTCTTTTGTTGCAGTTCATTTTTAGAAGCATAAATATTAAGTATAGAAAGCAACCAGCTCTCTCTCACACACACACGATTATATATCATATTATTAAAATTCAATCCATTGCAAATCTTCAGAGGGAAAAAAATTGTGTTCTGAACATGTAGACTTGTTCTTCTTGTCATTATTACTTAAACAATAAGTATAACAACCATTTACACATATTAGATATTGTATGTATCTAGAGATGATGTAAAGTACATGGGAGGCTGGGAGTAGGTTGTATGCAAATACCATGCCACTTGCATCACTGGATTTTGGTATCCTGAGGAGGAGGAATCAATCCCTGAGGATGCACAGGAATGACTCTGTGTATGTGTGTTCATGTGCATGTAAAATAATATACATATATGCATAACACACATATAAATATACACAGATGTTCTCTTTTTATTTTTATTTTTTTAATAGTTGTACACAATAACTTTTATTTATTTATTTTTATATGGTGCTGAGGATCGAACCCAGGTCCTTGCATATGCGAGGCAAGCGCTCTAGTGATGAGCCATACCCCCAGCCCCTAGATGTTCTCTTAAAGTACCTCTACTGAAACAATCTTCTGTGGAAACATTTAAAATCACATTAAGTTGAAATCCATGTTAAGAACTATGAAGATCAGGTGCAGTAGAAACAAAAAATTGTAAGGGATTGGCTCAATTTCCCTATCAACAAAGTCCAAGATCTTTTAAGAAGAATGAAATGAGTTAAGAAAAAAGTACTTTCTTTTTCTAAGATTGGAAGAAAAGCTAACAAGATTTTTTATTATTTTCAAAATAAACCTGGGACTGGGGGTATATCTCAGTAGTAAAGCACTTGCCTGGCATATATGAGGTTCTGGGTTCAATCTCCAGCATCACAAACCAACCAACCAATAAACCAAATAAGCCTGAAGCAACTGACTATAAGGGCAAGAACTGAACAAGGAAGACAGCAAATAAAATAAAGCATTTCTAAGTTTGAAGTTCATTTTACTGTTAAGTCAGAAACTGTTTACGTACCTTCTCGGTCAAAGAAACCTTGGAGAGCCTTTTTTGGGTCCTTTATATAAAAGGCTTCCCTTTCCTGCTGAAACTCTAAGACAATGGGATTCTCTTCTGCATCATCCTCTACAGCATCTTCTCCTGCAGGATATAAGAAAGAATGGAAAAATAATGAGACATGAGAGGACATTGTCTGAAATATACCCAATATTCTTTTATTCTACATAAAGATATAGTTATATGTGATGAAAAGAAAGTTAGTTGGGTGTGGGAAGTGAAATAGCCACAAAGCCAGCACTATGAGTATCTTCAGATTTTCTAAATTATATGACAAGTCAAAGCTTGTTTCCGTCGCACCTTAATTTTTTTCCATCACTTATTTTAAAGGCAAAATTTACCTACCACACTTTGAGTTCCTCAGCCTGGCATTCTCTTTCTCTCAAACTCAGGTCTAATATTTTTATCTCTAATATAATTTCTTAGTACTTCTCCTGTCAAATAGACTGGTAGACTCACTACCTTAAAATCCTCAGTCCTTACTCTGAGTACCAATTCTAACACTCAGCTTCATAGGAGCTACTTTTCCTTTCTTTTAAGTTCCAGCTCAAAAACCCTTCTGCTTATAAACTTATAAAGTCTTCCAAGAAGCTAAGAAATCAGTGGTGTTCAACAGAAAGCCACATATGTTAATCTTAAATTTTCTATTAACTATATTGAAAAAATAAAAAGAAACAGGTTAAATTACTGTCATTTCAACATGTAACAAGACTATCATGACCAAGATATTTTACATTCTTTTTTCATACTGTGTTTGAAATCCAGTGTAATTTTGCACTTACAAAACTTGAAAATTTGTACTAACCATGTTACATGTTACAAGCAGCCACATATGGTAGTAGCTACCATGCTAGACAGCAAAGGTATATGGAAGTCTCAGTAACTGCTCCCTTAGTGATTCCTAACTTTGGCACTTAGCACAAATAATTTCAGAATATTTACCCTGTGCTCCGTCCTACACGTTAAGGACATATTCTCTTTTTTTTTTATAGTTCTATTGTCTGAATATCCATCCTCTAAAATTACAGTGTTTGTGGGAAATTCAATTCATTCCTTTGGCTAAGGGACCAGCTTTCTCTAATGATGGTTTACCTTTTGGGGTATTTTAACAAACTATGAAAATTCAAGAGAATATTCTATATTGAATAACATTCTATTTTATTTGATTGAATGTAGTTACACCTCTTCCAGTGATAATTGAATAGCAATGAGGTCAGTAATTAATATATATATATCTTTTTTTCTTTTTAAATATTTTTTGTTGGTCAATGGATCCTTCATTTTATTTTACTTATTTATATGTGGTGCTGAGGCTCAAACCCAGGGCCTCACACATTCCAGGCAAGTGCTTTACCATTAAGCCACAACTCTAGCCCACTTAATATATATCTTTAAATGGTGAAAAATGTAATTTTCACCTGAGCATACCTGTATGCTCTGGAAGTTTCAAACATAAAGTGAATTAAAAACACATTTTCAGGGTCTGGGGATGTGGCTCAAGCAGTAACGTGCTCAACTGGCATGCGCAGGGCACTGGGTTTGATCCTTAGCATCACATAAAAATTAAAAAAAAAAAAGATGTATAAAAAAAAACACATTTTAAAATAGCCACAGAAGCAGGGTGCAGTGGGACATGCCTGTAATCTCAGCTACTCAGAGAGGCTGAGGCAGGAGGATTCCAAACAAGTGGCCTATCTAAAAATAAAAAGGGGTCACCACACCTACCTGTTATCCCAGCCACTCGGGATGCTGAGACAGGAGGATCATGAGTTCAAAGGCAGCCTCAGCAATGGAGAGGTTCTAAGCAACTCAGAGAGACCCTGCCTCTAAATAAAATACAAAATAGGGCTGGGGATGTGGCTCAGTGGTGGAGTGCCCCTGAGTTCAATCCCCAACACCAAAAAGAAAAAAAAGGGGGGGGGGGGTTGGGAATATAGCTTGGTGCACCTGGGTTCAATTCCCAGAAAGGGAGTTGGGCAGGAGGAGGGGTGTGTATATATACATCCTAGTGTCTTTGATTTAAATCCTTTTTAACATCAGTAAAGGTAATGACTCTCTGGAATTTGGGTACCTGGTGTGCAAATTGTCCTAGTTCAAGGAGTAATGAAAAGTCATATATATATAAAAAAAAAAATTAAATTTGCACCACTAGTAACTCAAAATATTAACCTCAGGCAGCAATTTTAATTTCTTACCCATTCCCCAGGTACAACCCATCTCATCATCTTGGTTACTAGTATTCCTCTTCCTTTCCGTGTTATCCATTTCCTCTTCTTCATCTGAATCTTCTCCTAGCATCTTCTTCTCCAACAACATCTGTTGCTGCTTGCGCAGTTCCTTCAACTGTGTTACTGTTAACTCGGATTCTGCCTCTCGGTCTTCTTCTGGTCCCTGATGAACCACACCGAAACAAAAACAAAACAAACTTTTAGAGTTCAAGAATGAGTTACTTTCAGAAATAAGGCAGTAAGTTGAAAGGTCCGGAAATAAGGATGCAGACTGATTTCTCCACTTTTGTCACTGCTGACTGGGAGAATACCCTTCCTCAACCAAAGCTTACGAAGCTCAAGATTCCAGCATGGTGAAGAATCGAGATTTCAATTTTAGGTTTTTCTACTTACCTGCAGAATAAAGAGCCGGGTGCTACCACCAAAGCGGAAAACGTGCCCGACATGGACTCGACAATAGGTGCGGGGAGGGATTCGAGTTTTGTTGAGGAACGTGCCATGGGTACTTCCCAGGTCGTAGAGGTAGAAGCCTTGCTCGTGGCCATCGCATTCTCCGTCCGGGTCGGACGCCCTGTGTTGGAGCACCGCGTGGTACCGAGACACCGAAGGGTGCTCCAGGCACATGTCGCAGCTAGACAGCCTCCCAAAAAGGTAGCAACTTGTCCCTTTTAAGCTACGGGTGCCCAGGATGGTGCCGCCCTTCAGGGTCTCTAGGCTATAGGGGGCCGTGGCTGGGCTGCCCCACGGCGGCTCTCGGTACCGCGGAGCTCGAGCCGGGCCGCCAGGGGAGGAAACCGCGGTGGGGGGACGCAGCTGCTCTTCCTGGACACTCCTAGTCTCTCCGCTGTCCCGCCGAGGCGGAACGTCGGGCTCCGTAGAGTCAGAGTCCCGCGGCTCCGTGGGCCATTCCTTCTTCACCTCCTCAGGGTTTGCGGGACTGGCGGTCGGAGCCTTACTCCGCACTGCTGGGGTCGCCGGCAGGGCTGGCTTCTTAAAGTCGCCACTCAGTTCTAGCGACACTGGAGGCTCTGACAGAGAGGGAATATCTGCCATCCTTAACCGAGTGCGATGTCGAAATATGTTCCTAGGAATCCTCACCCTTCGCTCTCTACGTTCCTGACCGTGTCGCCCTCGTCCCAACTCGAAGCGGTTTCTCTGGGCAGGGATGATTCGGTTGCTCCGTCAAGTCCCAGAGCTTTGTAAAGGGGTGCGTGGCCCAGGCAGGTCATAATGACAGGAAAAGGCTGTCGTAGTGCCTTACAGAATGGGGACATCTTTAGAGGTTGCAACAGGATTGTAATGACTTCCTGTGGCATAGCCTGATAGGATAGAAGCACTTCCGGCACAGTGTTGGACCGCTAAGCAACAAATCAGTTTTCCGGACCTGACCCGACCCTCGCTCAACCTCTCGGAGTCGGACAGGCACCCAGCCGGCTCCTGGAACACGACAGTGAATTGTGGCGTCTCTTCGTCTGGGCTCAGACCCCCACCTGCCCATCTCCCGGCAGCCCTCTCGTCAGGCGTCCCCCGGATCCTGTGATTGGCGCCTGCGCCTGCTGACGGTGACCGAGGAGCGCCCCCGGAGGAACTTGGGCATTCCTTAGGTTCGGTACCTGTCCTTCCTAGTTTTTTCGGTGACGTTAGGGAAGAGGGTGATTTTTGGTGGTTGTTGCTTCGTTTATTCATTTTTTTTCCTTTCCGAAATGAATTATTGAGGTAGCATAGTTCAGTGGTTGAGTGCCGACTCTGGAGACTGTCTTGATCTTTCACATTCCGTATTTGTGACATTGCACAAGACTCCGCCTCAACTTCCGCATCTGAAAAATGGGGATATTTGCATTTACTTTGTAGAGTTCTAGGGAGAATTGAAGTAAATAATAAAGGTGAAGTCCAGCACATAATAAGGTATCAATAAATGCCAGACACTGTACCCAAATTATAGCCATAATCTCCCATACGTGGGAGAACAAATTTGATTAAATACAGATTAAAATTAAGGGATAAAGGCTGTGATAGAGGCATGCAATGAACATTAGCATATGTATTAGGAATATGTATTGGGGAAGTGATGGAAGGTGGTAACTTAATGGGTGAATACAAGTCTGCTAGGGACTTGTATTCTGTGTGGCAGAGCATTTCTGCGAGAGATCACAGTTTAAAGGGTCAAAACTGTGGGAATACCTAGCGTTTTCAAAAAAAAATGAGTAGTATGATATTGTTAGAATTAAAGTGGCCATTTAGTTCAGGGAGCTCCTTCTTTTGGCTTCTACTGTAACAGGTCTATGTCTTTAGAACAGTACTTAACACAAGTATTTTGTTCCTCTCTCTCTCATTTCAGGACAGAGAACTTGCACTATTGGTCTTCATTTCCTCACATAATGCCTGACATTCAATAAATATTTGTTAAACTTGAAGAGACGTATGGGCAATGAATCTAGAAAGGTGGGTTGAAACCAGATTGTGAATTTTGCTGATTGGTAAGCCAAAAAAATTCTGACTTTTTCCAGTGGGCAATGGGAAGTCATTAAATTTGAGTTTTTAAAAGATTTTCTAGCTGCAGTGTGATTATTAAATACAAAGAGAGACCAGAGTAAGGGATATCAATGAGAAGCAGAGAGATCTTACATTCTTCCCTAGATATGTCAAAAGTTGAAAGCATGAGACTAGATTAGATGTTCACAGAGTTTCCCACAAGGATCAGTTAAATGTTACCATGCTTAACACACACAAAAAGAACCCCTCCTACTACTTCCTTCCTCCTATTGATCTAGCGTATCAAAAATGTTCTGAGAAATACTCCAGGTTTCATATTTAAGTATCATGCCTTGCAAATTGTTTAGAATTTGTCATGATGGTAGTTCTGGTAATGAGTTAGTGAAATGAAATAGAAAACATGGTTACTAAGTCCCAGACACCATTGCAGCTCTTAATTTACTAATAACTCAGATTCTACCTTGTGGTTCAGTCTAGTAGGAATTGTCTTTTGTCTACATCTAATGGTTTTATTTCTCTTCATTTCTCCAGGGAGAACATCTTTGGTCCTACAGTTTTGCCAATACTGACATTTTTTGAAGTGTTCTTAACTTGCTTTTTATGTAAATAATTGGCTAGACTTCATATCTTTCACTATAGAAGCCTATAACCTACAGTTGCCAGAGATTTAAACATTATTTTTAGGATAGCTTCTACATTAAACCTGAGAGCTCTTCCCTTCTTACTCCAAAAATGTTGAGATACTGGGGAGAGATACCAATGTCCTCAAGCCAGACCAACAGAAGTTCCTTTGATCTGCTCCCACGGGAGTTCCGTCTGGTAGAAGTACATGACCCACCCCTGCACCAACCCTCAGCCAACAAACCCAAGCCCCCCACTATGTTAGACATCCCCTCAGAGCCATGCAGCCTCACCATCCATACCATTCAGTTGATCCAACATAACCGACGTCTTCGCAACCTTATTGCTGCTGCTCAAGCCCAGAATCAACAGCAGATGGAAGGTGTAAAGACTGAGGAGAGTGAACCTCTTCCCTCCTGCCCTGGGTCACCTCCTCTACCTGATGATCTCCTACCTTTAGATTGTAAGAATCCCAATGCACCATTCCAGATCCGGCACAGTGACCCAGAGAGTGACTTTTATCGGTAAGGCAAAACTTTGCTGTATCTTATTTTTCTCAAGTAATCTTCCCAGCAATGCTGTTAAGCCTATAATAGAATTTCCATTTCTACATGAAGAAACTGAGGATAAGAGTGATTGATTTGGCCAAGGTTGCTCCTCCAATTAGTGAGAAGTGTCTACCTTGAACCTGTATCTTCAGAATCCAGAGTCTGTAGTTACAGACTTTCCGACGCAACAGAAATTTATTGAGTGCCTACTATGTGCCAAGCGCTTTACTAAGAGCAAGATAATACACTGGTATGTAGAAAGGGCCCTGGCCTTGTAGACTTCAGAGTCTAGTTTATTTAATATAAAATGAATATTATGGGTTTAGCTTCAAATTGGATTTTATGGACTTATTCTCGTATTATTAGGAATCTGCTAGTCTATAGAAGAATTTTTAAATTGTGTATTTTCATTTTGATAACATTGTTTAAGAAACGATAATGCCAAAATGTTTGATCTTTATTACTCAAAATCTGGTCCAAGACCAGGAGCATCAGCATCACCTGGGAGCTTTTAGAAATGCAGAAGCTCAGATCCCACCCAGATCTACTGAATCAGAATCTGCAGTTTTAACAAGATTCTCATGAGATTGATATAGGCATTTAAGTTTGAGAAGTTCTGGTCCAGATCCTCTGAATGACTGCTTTGTAATCTAGCATTACTACTAGATTTCAGAATGCCAGTTACATTTTTTCTTTTCATTTCAAATTTTTTTCTTTTTCATTTTAAATTTGTCAATCCTATGGAAAGTTCAAATAGTAGTACAACAAACATCCAAATACCCTTTCCCTACATTCAACAATGATTAATATTTTACCATATTAAGTTTCTCACATTATGTATGTATACATTTGTATACACACATGTACACACAATAAATACATGTTATGCACATACACATACTGCTTATGCCAAACGTTTTAAAGTTTTACATGTCACAATAATTTCACCCCTGAATTCTTTAGCATGCATATCCTAAGAATAAAGGAATATTCCTACATAAGCACAATACTATCACCACACCAAAGTAAATAAATATTAAATAATGTTGTTTCAAAAGTCCGGATTTAGATTTCTCCTGTTGTCTCCAAAATATCTTTTATAGATATATTTTCCCCAATTCAAAGATTCATGCATTGCATATGATTTTTATGCTCTTTACTATCTTTACAGGTTCAGGTCATTGGTCTTGTAGAATGTCCTCTTTACTGGATTTGCTGGTTATATCCTCAAGTTTAAATTCAGGTTAAAGATGTTTGACAAGAATATTACATATATCATTTATTACATATGCCTATTCGTGATGATAGTTACTGTTTTTTTAAAAAATATATGTTTTAGTTGTAGATGGACACAATACCTTTATTTTCTTTCTTTATTTTTATGTGGTACTGAGGACTGAATTCAGGGCCTCACATGTGCTAAGCAAGCACTCTACCACTGAGCTACAACTCCAGCTCAATAGTTACTATTTTTTTTTAAAGGTTTATTGCTTTGCTAGCTAAGGAGAAACAGTCCCCTTTGGGTCAGTGGGACAGGGGACTCCTGTCCCAAAGGCTGTGACTCTCCCCATCAGGAAGAAGAGGGGGGATTTTATTTATTTTTTTAATTTTTTAGATGTAGTTGGACACAATGCCTTTATTTTGTTTACTTCAACTGAGAATCGAACCTAGGACCTTGCACGTGCTAGGTGAGCGCGATACTGCTGAGCCACAACCCCAGCCCAATAGTTACTATTTTAACTGTCCCAAACTAATGAGAAAAAAAAACAGAAATAAATATGTAAGGATTGCAGTCAGGCCATATGATGGCAAAACACATTGTGTAATTAAAGGTTCTGTCAATCCCCAGCACCACAAAAAAAAAACTATTATGTGAATTGCAGTAGTTGCTACTAGAGAGAAAATAATAAAATGGATATTTCAGGCACAATGTACATATGCCAGTCATCACTGGATAGTGAAAGTGGGAGGGGGATAACTGTGTTATTCCATATATGGCACAAACTAACATGAATACTATCAAAAAACCTGCTATGTAGCAATCAGTACCAAATTCACATTTTGAAGGCAATGTAGTTTCTACTTGACCATCATATTAAATTGATGCTTTCATTTATAATTTTGTAGAGTTTTGTTGTTGTTGTTATTGGTTTTGGGTTTTTTTTTTGGGGGGGGGTTAGTTTTTGTCCTAGGAATTGAACCCAGTGATGCTTTCCCACTGAACAACATCCCCAGCCATTTTAAGTTTTTATTTTGAGACAGGGTTTCACTAAGTTACTGAGTCTGGCCTCAAACCGGCCATATTCCTGCCTCAGCCTCCCCAGTAGCTGGGATTACAGGTGTGCACCATTACTCTTGTAGTTGTGTGTCAAATTTCTATTTTAATCGATAATGAGAATTGTAATTGTTAAAAGTTTATACTTATTTTTGTTTTATGCATATTTGAAAAAACTATATAACAAAAATAATTTGCATCAGCTATAGGGTGCCAATTTTTTTCTATTGAAAAAAGTTCATGTATGAATCAAGTAAAGTGATACTGGTCTAGCTGTTTTTTAGTCATTCCTGAGGTTTTTAGCCTGGTTATGGG